GTTACGATCCCTTTCCGATCCCATATGTGTGTGAGACCCTAGAGTGTAAAACCGAGGGTTCTGTCTATGAATTTTTAAAGTAAATAGCCCGACAGCGCATCTGATTTGGATGTCAATAATAATAATACGACAGTTGCATTAAAAATAATAATAATATAGCTGACAATTTTATTTCGGAGCTGCTGTTGAGCTGTTGTAACATTTAATAACTTATTAATTGTATGACTATCGTGGCTTACAATCCATTCCCGATCAACAAGAAAGCCCAAGTAGTATTACTTTTACACACGGCGAACATACCTTTGTGTCCGTTTCACTGATTGGTTATTTTACGGGCAAGTTGTTGATGTACTGTGAAACAATCTATTGTTTCCTGGGATTCGAAGCCAAGACCTCTCGCGCTTAACGCAACAATTAACCAATACACTACAGAGGTAGTCATTATTCGTACAAGCTAATCTTTGAAATAAAACAATAACAGTTTATTTTTACGAGCGATTAAACCTGGCTTGGCTGACCAAGCGGAGCATTCGTCGTAGACAGTTTAGTTATATGTGATGCCATTAAGAAACGAAAATACATTTTTATAAACCTTTTCTATTAATTTACTTGTCAGAAGCAGGAATTATTTTAAGTAACGTAATCTACGAAATGTATACATTTATATTGTCTTACAATGCAAAATATATTGATTAACTTATTTCTAATTTACTTTAACTACGGCCGAACGTTTCCGTCTGTGGTCTACCACAACTGCTGTGCATCTGAAACGTGGGGAGTTGTTGATTGAAATTTTGTGAATTAAACAAAAAATAAGTAAATTTATAATTCGCGTTTTAAACCGTTAAAACATTTTCATCTAAATATCTACTACTCAACCGCCTCTGTAGGCAAATGGTTAAACGTATCACCTAGCATTGCGTTAAGCGCGAGGGGTCCTGGGTTCGAATCCCAGGGAAACATAAAATTGTTTCGGTCGGGCAGGGAACAAAAGTCTGATCAACTACTTGCCCGTTAAAAGAACGGATCAATGAAACGGACACAGAAATGTGTTTCCCCCATGCCCCACGACGGGAAAGCGGGCTTTCATATCTACTACTCTCGTAACTACAGACTATACCAGATATATAATTGTAGATATTGAATAAAAAGCTAATAATAGCCGACCGGAAGTAACAAACATAAGCGGATATTGCATCGGGAATCGACTTTAAGTTGACTCAACAAGGCTTTGTTAAGAATACATACATTGTGCAACACAGTATTAACTTTAAATGTACTTTTCAATACAGTTGTAAGCTTCCTGTTTATTTATACTGCATTCATAGTTGAAATGGTTTTATTTATTCCCATACCAAAGTTAAGCGAAATGTGTTTGGTATGTATCAACACTTTACCGGCTTAAAACGTCAAATATATTAGCTAAGCAGTAGTCATCAAAGTCAAATCTGCGACTCTAGCGTCATCACTTTCGTCGTTTACAGTACACGTGTACACGGTAGCTCAATTAGTTAGAGATCGGTACGATGTGGGTACCCGTTCAAGTTCCGCCCTTGTCATATATATTATTCAACGAACTGTGGCTGAGACTTCGTCCGCGGTTATTTTGGGAATGAAAATTTGTTTTTGCAAACCTTCTCACATTTTTTAATTATAGCTCTTACCCATGACGCATGATGCTTTGCAGCAGACGTGGTCAAGAGGAGACGGCTGCTGCAAAGCACCCGAAACTTTGGGCCGAAGTTAAAAATCATTTTCAAATAAGTTTCACTAATATATCGCATTGTAAACCGTCAAAGTGATTTATTTAAATGCTAACTACTCGCGTAAACTATAGACAGTATTATACTCTTCAGCTTTATATATTAGTATAGATGTAGATCGAAATAAGTTTGATCATATGTCATTTTATATGTGTGAAATTGTAATTTTGAAACCTAATGCTTGTTAAAATCGATTTTAATAACCTGTAACTTTGCTATAACTCACAAATTGACAGTTCAATAATGGTAATTTAATTTAACTGAATTAAAGCAGAAATATTAGTCGCAATAATTAAATATCGATTGTATTTTCAGACTCTGCATTTCCGAATAATGTACAGTCAAAGGCTAAATGGATATTTGTACGAACAAAGCTTTTATGCTTTAACGCCTACGTTCGTAGCTTTCGCGTAGCCGTGCTACGAACCGCTACGAGACACGTTTTATGTAGCAATGTTTGTGGTATTTTTAATTTAATTTAAGTTGTTTCTCTATTCGATACGCATTTATGTTCTTGTATGTGTTATATTGGTAATTTTTAGAAATGAGATATTTCCAAGTTAGTTCCAGTATAAGAAATTCAAGGTGTGATGACAAAATCAAGGGATCTCTTGAAAATGGGGGTTGTTCGTTTGGTTTTTTTTATTCAATAATATATAAATTGAATAACAGTTTTAAATAGATCTAATAATAAGGCCGAGAAACAACCTTAAATGATTTGAATATTTGAATTATGAACTTTACACCTAGATGCGTTGTGAATATCAATATGTCTGATGATTAAGACCAGATAAATTTTACAAAACTCCTTAATGATTTACAGATGCGATGAGTCTACTCGTCACGTAAAACAGTTTTTTTTTCCAATAAATAACCGATTTTAAATCATCATACTGAAAGGAGAAAAAATTATAAAAAAACTTCTAACAATGAAATAGTTTAATAAATATTTTCATAAAATATTGAAATCTTAATTTCTATTTTGATAAAAATGATCCTAGGAATCAAACTATTGCCCACCGTGTACCAATATTTGAAATCATAAAGCAAAATAAGTGATGTCGAATTGTAAAAATGATTTAACAAACAATAAACTAAAGTAGAAACAATCACTCTCAAGGAAAATATTATTATAAAGATTTTAATTATAATATCTGTCTCTACCTTTCAAAGAAATCTTGAGATAGAAATATTATAATTTCAGTTATTTTCACATCACAAAGATATTAATAGTGTTTAAGGTAAGTCTACGAAAATAATTACATTTCGCCTCAAAAGGAAATTCGTTGACTACGCTAGAGTTTCCCAATAACGTTATTACAAGCCCTCGCTTTACCTTAATAATTATGTACATGTACATTAAGACTGTTTTTGCATTATATAAACAATTTGTTGAGGATGTAATATTTAGTCAAATATTGTTTGAAACATTTATCAACTGTTGTTGGATATGTAATCTATTCAACATTCATTATTAAAATTTTAAAATGTATTCGCCATTATTTTTAAGTAAATGTTATATAAAACAAAACTTCTGTCTATTTACCTAACTTAAGATAAATGCAAGTACGTCTATGATTAAATGAATGGATTAGGAGTCACATTTTAAAAGACATATTAGAAGGCCTATTTTACAGTGATAACCGCCTCTGTAAATTAAAAAAACGATTTTAGATTGAAAGCATTTTTCGATATGGGAGAGTCAATGTAGCTCAATTGGTTAGAGCAACAGCACGGAAGGTTGTTGCTGCCGGCTCAAGTATCGTCCGTGTCGTATTTATTTTTTATTTAAAATTGATTTAACAATTGATAGAATGGCATCATGTGCAACCATGTGAGGAAAGCTTTCAAACGGAAGTCTGCTCAGCTACTTGCCTGCAATTGAAATCGACCAGTACAGACACAGAAATGGGGTCACCAAATGCCCCACAGGGGAAAACGGGACTCCATGCTAATATGAGGCTGATGGAGGCAGAGTGGCCTAATAACAAAAAACTTGATTTTCATTGCGGAGGAAAAAAAAACACGCGATCAACTTAGGCGAAAATGAATTTGTACTATCATTTGTGGAAAAATTGTCATGTAAATAATTTTCAGTCACTGTGTTCTTGTAGATTAACATTTTTAGACTATGAAAATATAAATAACTCAAGTCATTAAATTGCAGTTAGGCTACTCTGCCTCTGGCGGCGTCATATTTGAAACTACAAAATACAGACGTCACAGCAAGCCAACTAATGATAGTTCGTGGAAATAGTTTGGAAGTCAATTTCACTGCAGAACTGCTCCGTAGTTGCGTCAACCTGTTTACGTTGCACTCTGATGGCAGTTTAATTAAAACGACGCAATTAAAACGAGAATTATCGCGAATTGAGAGGCAAATTGGATTATTGGCGGTTTGTTGGGGTTTAACTCATTTTTTATGAGCAAGAAGGTCAGATAAGCAAATAGTTCATTTGAAAAGTGAAATATATAAATAACATCTCAACAAGATGTTATTTATATATTGCGCTGTTCTACCTACATTTTTTTGACAGATTACCAGTTTTAGAAAAATTGAAAATTTATTAAAAAATGTTAACCCGGTGGGAATTGAACCTACGGCCCCTTGATAGTTAGCCATACATTGCATTATAACGACGAGCCCGTCAAAGGGAAATCATTCTCGTTTTCCAATCGCAGGCCAAAACTGATATTTAATTTTTATTTTTATTATTTATTATACTTTGTTAGTATGGAATAGGCAAAATCCATACAATTAATGTTTGTTATTATATGATATAAAAGAGACATAATAGGGGCATAATCTATTCTAGACTTACATTCATACGTCATGTTACACAAGTTTATGACAGAAGTAGTTCAGCACTTTCCTTCCTTTATGACGGAAAGTTTTGATCTTATTAATAATAACGTAATGATGTATGGCACCGCTGTCCACGCTCCAAGGACTTACTGAAAATCAGTTCAGGTCAATAAGGGATCTGATAAGCTGAATAGGATTCCATTCTACCAAGTAGCGACACAAAACATTATTTTATACTGTTAAAATTGATTTGTGTTTGATTTCTGTATTTAGTAATGAGTCATCAAAGCAGTCAAACATAAAATGTTTTCTGTGGCATATGGTGGTAAATCAATTTATTTTCTATTTCAAATTTTTATATTATTTTCAATACTAACTAATTTTGAATGATACAGATTTTTGAATAATAAGAATTCTTTTTTTGTTCTAGAATGTGGTCTACATTGCCTGCGTGGTTAGTTGCGGTCTGCGTATGCGCTTGCGCAGCGCAGCGCATTGACCAGGAGCCCGTTTTATCGCCACGCCAGTCTCGAATCCGGGACCGTGACGCGAAGCCTGATGAACCTACTTGCGATCAGCTTAAAGCTATGTGGAGGTAAAGATATATTTACTTTACGTAATACATTATGCTATTAATAAAAAACGGGTTTAAACGCGAAATATGTTAACTTTAAATGTAAAATTATTTACAATTTTTTACTATGAGCCAACGTTTAGTATGCATTGTAGCTGGCGTGGACTCGGGGGAAGTGAAAGTGGAGGATGTCCAAATCTGCTAGCGCGTTTTGCGTTTAAAACCGTTAAAACTGTTTTATTTAAACGTATACTAAGCTAGTGAGCATAAGTACTAACCTAACCTATGTATGTTATGTAATACACAAAAAAGTATACAAATCCATACAAGGGACCTTATACTTTGTTTAATATCTAAAAGTTTATGATATATATATAGAGTACAGTACGGTACAGTATGTTTAGTACAAATTATACCCATATGAAACTGAGACAAGTTTCGCGTGAAACTGAAATTTGTTTAGACAGGTAATCCACCTTTATATCCAAAGTGAGAGTTGAAATGCCTCATTTCGCGTTAAATCAAATAACACAATCCGCCCAACATTCCCGGCATTCGAGGAACGTACTACGAAAATGTTCAACTACGAGGCTGCGACGCGAAAACCACATTTTCCACCCGCTATTATAGCTTGCGGGTTCGGTATATTGTACTAGCTGTGTCAGCGACTTCGTCCGCGTAGAATAGTTATTTTGGCATTCAAATTTGTTTTTGCAAACCTCTACATCTTTATAAATTTAAGCTGCTCACGACATCGGCCGCGTCCCGTCGTTCTTCCAAGTTAATCTTAAAGAATAGATATATAGCGGCGCGTACACTTTTTTAGATCATTTCAAGAGGAATAATTCTTTCATATATATTTTTTGGATGTCTTGAACTGTTTTCGCAGCGTACGCGTCTGAAACCCACAGAGATAAAAAAGTTGCCCCCGTTTTGTTCACATTTCCCGCTGTATATTCGTTTCATTAGTCACATTGCGCTTTTTTTATAGCCTTCAGCAAAAATAATTTTTCAATTCGAACCCCTAGTTCCTGAGATTAGCGCGTTCTAACGAACAAACAAATTCTTCAGCATTATATATAAGTATAGTTATGGATGACTCTGTTGGATTAAGTTTGGAATGTCATTTATAGGAGTAAAATTTTGAAAACTTTAATATTTTTTATATGTTATTGCACATGATGGCACTACTATAAATTAAAAATCGATAATAAATTGAAGAAAAAACTCGACTTGGGCACTTGAACTGGCATTCTCGGCACTCGATGCTGTTGCTCTAACCACTTGACTACTGACAACTACAACTTAACTTGATAACAATTTGTTAGAGCAACAGCAAGAAACGCTGACTATGCGTTTCTCACGCTGACTCGGGCAGGACTCAAACGCATACGCAGCGTTTGAGTCCTGCCCGAGTCTAAAATTTTTTCAACTTATTTTCGATTTTTATATAGTGCCTTCATGTGCAACAATAACATGTAAATAACAATAAAGTTTTCTAAGGTTAAAATTACGCGAAGACTATAAAATTAAACTTGGCGATAAAAGGAGTGACGGCGAGTTTCTTGCCAGTTCTTCTCGTTCGTTCTCCTTGATTTGAGAATCTGGTATGGTAGGCGGGAATGGTAATGAATGTCAATTTAGAGTCTCTAGTTTTTAAATGGTGTTACGTTTATAAGTGTGCCGAGTTATCTGCGTGAATTAATGATTTTTTACTTTGACTTTGAAACATTTTTTTAATTACATTAAAATCGATTGAGCTACCGAGTTGGTTAAAGAAACAGCACGAAACACCGAGGATGCCGGTTCAAGCCTTGCCAGAGTTGCAATGTGTTACTTTTTTTAAATCGATTTTTATCTATATATAAAAATCATCATGTGCAAGTAAAAAATATTAAAGTTTTAAAATTTTCTTTATAACCATCAATTCCCAGGACCTCATATATATTGATATAAACCAGTTAAAACAATCTTTCAACAAGAATAAGGATCGTCCTTCACTTTATTATATCGTACATAAATTAATTTTCTAACTTTTAAATTCAATTCACAATGTAATATAAAACTTTCCTCTCTCGTCTTCCCTAAACAAATCAACATTGAGGCAAAAACAATTTTCCATTTAAGCTACCCAAAATTTCAATGGATGTTAAATTTCGGTTTTATTGTTATACTTCAGTTAAAGTTTACGGTGTAAATGACAATTCTGTAATGGAAGTTATATTCATCAAGGTTTATTTGAAATCTCTAAGTTAGGTTGTCATTGAAGCCAAGCCGCACCCGAATCGAGTGGTGGATCTTTTGAAATCCTCTCGTATACCAGAGCTCAACTCTGGGAAATTTAGAAATTGAAAAAAAAAGGTATTTTATGTTTTAATATTAATAAGTCGGCCCAGTGAGCTTAGTTCTAACGTAGAGACAATACATAAGACTTTGGTTTTTCTTAAGTTTTGAAGCTTCTCTAACTTATCATGGTTCTTGAAAAACCATCGCACGTCGTTCAAATACGTCCCGACGTTTCCCCGTGACCACGGCTGCTGCGAAGCATCCGAAACGTAGCCGGGCCGTAGTTAAAATAATTTTTAAATAAGTTCAACTGATATATATCGCGTTTAAAACTGTTAAGGTGTATTATTCAAACATGGAATATCTTAGTCATATAGGACATTTTGGATGTTAAAAATACAAAACACTTGTCTAGTTATAAGATATACAAATAATTTTAAATACTATATATTAACTGATTACATTGTATAGACTTAATAATAAACGGACACGATAACCAATGTGTAAAGGCGATTTTGTTAAAACCATTGATCTGAAATAATCTGGGGACAGCGTCCACAGTGTGAACAACATTCAGTTAGAAAAGATTTTCACTAATTTTAAAATAAAACTTTTATACCAAAATATACATAAATATAATAGGAATTAAACAATCAAACACTACAAAAAAGCTTTAATGACAGTAGTTTAATTGATAGAACAATTTAAGATGAAAGAATGTATCAAAATGCTTATCAGTACCCCAGGCAAATTGGTGACCCCGACGTGATATTTCAAATGTTTTGCTGAGGTTAAAAGTAGCTCTATTGAGTCAGCTTCACTTGCAACTCTCAAAGCAATTGTATGAAACAAAGCATAGCCACAAGAACAAGGCTAACGACAGCCACTAAGTGAAATTCGTATTGTAATATGTACAAATGAAGTGATTAAATGTTAAAAAAAAAAAAAAAAAAAAAAAAACACCCCCCCAAAACACAAAAAAAAAAAAAAAAAACACCAAACAGGGGGGCAGGGAAAGGGGGAGGGAGGAAGAAAGGGGGGCCCCCCCCCCCGGAGGGGGGGGGGGGGCCCCCCCCCCCCCCACCCCGCCCGAGGGCGCCAGAAGAGCCCCCCCCCACCCCGAAAAAAACAACCCCCAAAACCAAAAATAAGGGGGGGGCGACGAGGGAAGAGAGAGGAAACCCCCAAACGGGGGGGGGGAAAGGGGGGGGGGGGGGGGGGGGGAGGGTTGAAACCCAGGGGGGGGATATTCGGCCCCGGGAGGGGGGGGGGGGGGGAGGGGGAAAAACACCGGGCAGCGACAAAACCACCGCAAGGGGAACAGGCGGGGAAGGGGGACGGAAGAACAAAAAAAAAAAAAAAAACGGGGGACGGTTGAAAGGGAAGGGAAAAAAAAAAGGAGGGGGGGGGAATCGGGTCAAAAGATATCTTTTCCCCCCCCCCCCAACATGGGGGAGGCGGGCCCCCCGGGGGGGGGGGGGGGGCGGTTGGTGGGGGGGGGGGGGGGGGGGGGGGGGCCCGGGGGGGCGCGGGGGGGGGGCCCGGGATGTTCTGCCCCCCCCCTGCGGGGGGGCCCGCCCAAAGAGGGAGGGGGGGCGCCCAGAAAAAAAGAAACAGGGAAAAAGAGAAACCCAAAGGGGGCCCCCAAAGGGGAAAACCAAACAAAAAAAAAAAAAAGAAAAAGGGGGACCACACCCCCCCCCCCCCCCCCCCCCCCTCCTCGGGGGGTGTTTTTTTTGCCCGCCCCCCCCCCCCCCCCCCCCCCGGGGCGGGGCCCCCCCCCCGGGAGTGTTTTTAACAAGAGGGCTTCATCAACATAAGTAACACTGAATATTTGCAACATAATCCTATCATATCATCCATAATCATAATAAATGGATTATTTTTTTATTGATAGAGGATAAAAGACGAAATCCATAGACGTTTCCCCGTGACCACGGCTGCTGCAAAGCATCCGAAACGTCGGGCCGAAGTTAAAAATCATTTTCAAATAAGTGTAACTAATATATCGCGTTTTAAACCGTTAAAGTGTTTTATTTGAATGTGTACTACTCGCGTAAACTGTAGATAACATACAATAACATTCATTCCATCTTAATATTGTCTGTTTCTAAATATATTTTTTTGTATTACTAACAAGGTTCGATAGACTGTGGCGATGTGGTCTCGCTAGGATTATAGCTATAAAGATGAAATCAAGCGTGAAATTGAATAAGCAAGAAGAGTATATTACAAGCCAAACTTATTTTTAGACCAATCAAATTCAATACGTTGACTTTTAAAATAATTATTTAGTATGGGGCGAACACACGCTTACCTATCGAAGAAGTCGATCAGACTTCTGTGCCTTGTCCGGCCGAAGCAATTTATTTTTCGTCCGGAACTCGATCGAGCAGAAGCGGTCAAATATTTATATTATATAATAATTTGATTAAAAAAACAAGAAAAAGTATCAAAAAAGGGAATTATATATTAAGTTACTTGTGTTACTTAGATTTTCTAGATTTAGATTTAGAGAACCTATATTTATTTATTGCAATATATACACAAAATTTCACTTTGCTTATAATAATAACAGAAAAAAACATTATATGAAACTTTTAACTTCGTCATCAAGGCCTTAGAGATGCACCAGAGCAACAGGATCTTAGAACAATTAAAACATTTTTTTTTCATTCCAGTAAGTCTTCCTCTATATAATACACATATTATTTTTGCAGGTTCTCCAAGAGACAAGCACGTGCTCCCGAGATCATGAATGAAGTGAATTCGTACCGCGACCCCCTTCTCTACAACGAGTGGCCTGTCTACACGGCTGTGCCCCGGGCCGCTCCAAGGTAGGATAATAAATAGTTAAATAAAAGACTTTAACGGTTTAAAACGCGATATATTAGTTAAACTTATTCGAAAATGATTTTTAACTTCGGCCCGACGTTTCGCGTTTTAAACCGATAAAGTGTTTTATTTAAATGCGTACTACTCGCGTAAACTATAGACAGTATTTAATAAATAGTTAGTTAGTTAATTAGTTAGACTAGTTTTAAGGTCAGAAGTTCTAGATCTAAGGCACTTTAGTCCTGGTATGGTTAGATTAATGTACTAAATATTATATAAAAAAATAAATAAAAAGGTGAAATACCCCAGCTATATAACATCTTAACAAGATGCGCGGTCAGCCTATTTTGACTTTAGTATCAGACTGCAACTGAACCGCTTTTAATCTTCAAGGCTTTTTCTTATGTAGACGATAGTTCGTGAACCGGACGGAATAACGATATTCCTATCACCCATTTAATATCCAGGTTGCCAGACGATGTCCAATACGTTTCTGACGGGTCATTGGTCTGAAAGTAGCAATGTATTATGTATTGATTACTAGCATCAACGAGTCGTAAGCTCTCTAATCGATTTACAAATTTGTAGTAATTTAAAATTATTCTTGTATACCTTAAGGGGGAAAGGTAAAAAAAAAGAAAATTAATAAGAATAACTAGACAAGTGTTTTGTATATATAATTATATAAACTATTTTCCATGTTAGAATAAAACATCTTAACCGTTTTAAACGCGATATAAATCAGTATCGGTTTCTTTCTGTGGATTTTGTATATCCAAAGCCAAAACAGCGAATATTGTATTGATGCTATACGGCTTGTCTCTCCTGCTCATTAAAAGGTCCCATGAGATTTATTTGGTTAACTCAGTAGAATATGAAGTGAACGTAATACGCTTAACCTCCCGTACATTGAACATAAAGCCTTCAGAACTATACAATAAATACGCACAGAGTAACAACTGGTTAATTTTACAAAGGAAAACGTAACATCAGGGGCTCCATTCATAAGTCTGAGGCGTTGTGGAATGAACAGTGAAATATGTAGAGACTGCTTTAAAATTGTAAAATAGAATTATTATACATCGTTACAAATAAATATTTACTTAATAACCAAAAAGATATGCTAAATACTTTATTATAAGAAAATGAATAGGAGATAAGTATAATTTAAGTTTTGTGCAAAAAAATGTGACTAACTAAGCGCTGATTGTCAGTTAATACCTTATATAAATTAAAACTCTAAAATTATTACAATGTAAAGTAACTGGTGAATTGAAAAAAATTGACGACACACACGGTACTTGAACCGACAGCGTTCCGTCCTGTATTAACCAATAGATCTACGTACACCTCTTGCGCAATTTTTTTTTGTCATACAGGAATTCGGACATGCATGGGTCTCACAGCCATTTAACATCTCGGCATCTTGCGTTGTTAACCTGAAATCCACAGACGAAACCTAAATGCGAACTTCAGGACTTTTTCATCATTGAGCCTGGACGGAATTTACATATTCGCAACGCCCGTTTAATACTTCCAGATGAAATGACAAACATGTGTGATCCGTTAGGAATCTAACCCCGTTGATTATTACCTTCCATTACTCCCATTAGACTAACGTGCCCGTTGGAAGCAAAGCAATGCTTTCAAATTTCAAACTTAACATTCACGTATTAAGGTTCAATGTCTAATGCTTTGCAGTTTTAGAAATCATTTCATAAGTTCTTGCACATGGTGGCATAATATAAACCTATATAGTCTATAGCCTACCAGATGATAATTAATACTGTTGGATTAGAAACATTTTGGAAATATCAACCTAATTTGAATCTCGGAAAATATATAGATGAATTCATTTGCATTAAAGTTCGTTTTTTGTTATTCCTCCTGTAATTGCTACCTCATAATTGGTTTTATTTTAAAATAATTATAAACTATAGCCAAAATATTAACTTAAACAGTCGATAGTTAGTTAGTATATATCACGGCAATATTTCAGAAGACAACGCGTTATTTGTATTATCCTCATGCATAACTCCCATTGAAACAATGCTCCACACCTTTCCCTGTGCTTTGAATACAAATTGTGCTGTATTCATCACATATAATGCACCTGACTGAGCTCCAACGTGGGCGTTCACTACTATTTTTAGATAATTAATTTCGCCGTTGAATATTATGACATTTCACTTACATTTCCTGAAACGTTGCTACAATACGTAATCAACGGCTCGTGTCATCTCACATTCCAAGCCAAAATAGGGCGACAACGCATCGTGTTAAAATGGCTGATATATGATGAATAAACTTTTAACGGTTTAAATCGCGAAATGTATTAGTTAAAGGGACATTAGATAATTACTACGTGGTGACGGGAAGACACGTCTGCTGCAAAGCATCCGAAACGTGGGACCGTAGTTAAAATAACATTTAAATAATTTTAAGTAATATATAGCGCGATTTAAACCGTTGAAGTGTTTAATTTAAATACTACAAGATATTTATTAATGAGTAAGTTAAAATAGAAGACAAGTTGATCCGATATCTCCGAGGCTTTTTACCGCGGCACTGGAAGAAGTTTTCAGGAACATTGAGTGGGATAACTTCGGATTAAACATAAACGGAAAAAATTTTCATCGTCTACGCTTTACAGACGACATTGTCCTTTTTTCTGAAGATGAAAAAGAACTGAAAAATGTTGCAACAGCTTGCAGATCAAGTCTTCTAAGACCAAAATAATAACATATATATCGGAAATAAAATGTTTTAATAAAGTCAAAAATGAAGCGGTAGAATACGTGACAGAGTATGTTTATTTAGGACAATTAATATCCCCTAATAACTTAATGAAAAAATAAATAGATAGACGTATTTCTAATACTTGGTAAAAAAACTGGTCCCTCTGCGAGAATTATGAAAAATCCTGATATGTCCATAAAAGTAAAGCTTAGAAGCCTTTAGGGGAGGCCTATGCCGCAATTTAAAAAAAAAATAAATTGTAGTTATTAAGGAAACTTGTATAGTTAATAACAATAAAGGCTTATTTTATTTTTTATAAGTTAAAATAAAAACTATTTACTACACTAATTATTTGTTTGCAGATTCCGATATCAATACCCAGCTATGCCTCGTGAAGCCTACGGACGCGTTATCACAAAGGCGCCGCCCAACGTTGTACGCACACCTGATTACGGAGAGGTAAGTACTTATATCGTACGAAACCCCAATACGAGATATGAGAGTTTAGGGCATAGGGCAAAATCATTGAAATTAGTATAATATAAATTATTTGAAATTGTAATTTGCTTATCAAATATTTTATTTAAAAGAGAAGAAGTGAGGAAGACTAAGAAGTGAGTTTGATGTAGTAGCTAGTTATAATAAGAAAGAATTATATTTCAATATTAACTACCATATATAATATACGACTAACGACCCGCCCCGGCTGCGCTCGGGTGGAATGCTAATACAGTACAGAGAAAATTAACGTTATATATAAAACCTTCATCTTGTACCACTCTATCTATAAAATAAAAGACATCAAAATCCGTTGTAGTTTGAAAGTTTTAAAGCCTACAGGGGACAGAAAGTGACTTTGTTTTTTACATATATGTAGTGATATAAGAAACGTTTAACGTTTATTATGCAAAATATATTTGTTTACGTATTTATTTAGCTGTTTATTAGCAAAACATTACTACCACTAGACCCAGGAGCTTGTCATATTTACATTCGTGTCTAGCTAAGATATAATATTGAAAAGGTTCCCTGAAATTAAATTGAATAAAAGTTTTATCGCCCAAGTTAGCACTGTTAGGGTTTCAATTGTGTAATGTCAACTTACAGGGTCAAGTGCAAAAGTTACGTAACAACTTTGTACACTTCTTAATAAGTTGGAAAAAAAAATTCAACTTTGATATGACAAAATACCTGTTTGGATAATGATTTAATTTTTCGTTCCGAGACATAATTGATTCACATTGTTACTTACTTCTGAGTTAAGTATTTCTTTTATCGCTGTTATTTTGTAATTTTTACATGGATCGTGAATTTCACCTGCGATCCGAAGTAGTGGAAATTCACTTAATCTATACATATAGCTGAAGAGCTTGTTTATTTATTAGTTCGAACGCGCTAATCTCATGAACTACTGGTTCGAATTGAAAGGTTTTTGTGTTGGTTAGAGAATTTATCGGGGAAGGCTCTAAAACATTGCGACGCGCCTAGAATAGTTTCCGCCTCTATTAAAGCGGAAACTATTCTAGGCGGACGAAGTCGCTGACACAGCTAGCTATATATTAAAAATCGATTTTATATAAAAAAAAATTACGACACAAGATTTGAACCGGCACACACAATTTTTGTACTGTTGAATTAAATAATTTATTTGAACATGTACTATATACTAACTTCGGAACCTTTAAACTATATTTTGAAGATAAATATATTGGTTTTAAATACAACATAATATAGTTATTTTTAAAACATTTACAGAATACCGCAACGAAAAATTCAACATTGTCTTTTATGAAAATGCATCTCGTTTAATGAGACTAAGTACGTAGGTACTTGATCTCATTAACTTTTTCGACTTACAGTATTGTTTGAATTTATTTTTAGATATTCAATCCTATTGAACAAACTACAAAGTTCGTCCCACGCAATTTCAATATTGTTCCGTGAATATTGAAATCTACATTTCCCGCAAAATTTATTCAATACTTAAAATATAGAATGAGAATATGTAACGGAACGCTGAAAAAAATGATTGGTACAGCAACAGCACGGAAGGCTGACGATGCCGGTTCAAGTCCTGTCCGAGTCGGAATTTATTTTAGATTTTTAAATTACTCAAACTAGTAAAGCGCATCTTACAAAGGAAGCAAAAGTTAAAGTGTAAAGTTCATCGCTAAGAAGAAATGTCGTTTAGTTAAGAACAGGTTCTGTAGATATTCGTAGTAGTACTAAAATTAAACATGGGCGGGACTTAAACCTACGATCGAAGCATATCGTGCTACTTTACTACCAATTATGTTGCATGATGTGGAAGTATAAATCTATGAAGCTTATTTGAGTGAATATGAGCAAGGGCGTCATTGAATTATTTTCAAACTAAAATGTGCTTTTTTTAACCTATATGAAGCTAAATACTGTCTATAATTTACGCGAGTAGTACACATTTAAATAAAACACTCTAACGGTCTAAAACGCGATATATTAGTTAAACTTATGTCTCCCCGTGACCACGGCTGCTGCAAAGCATCCGAAACGTAGGGCCGAAGTTAAAAATCATTTTCAAATAGTTTAACTAATATATCGCGTTTTAAACCGTTAAAGTGTTTTATTTAATTTATATGAAGCTTCCAAGGTTCAGATTAATTTTGAAAATTTTTACGACTCGAACAGGACTTGAACCGGCATCCACAGCGTTCTGTGCTGTTGCCACGGTTATAATCGATTTTTTATTTATATAATGGCATCATGTGCAAAATATTAAAGTTTTTAAAATAACTATTTTGTTATATATTATAACAAAAAGTGAAGACATGCACAGTTTTCTTAAGTTTTATTTACTATGTTAAATAATTTAACAACTCCATTGTTAGTATTTTTTATAATGGGGGGGGCCTCCCCTTAATGGGGGGTTTTAAACCCCCTTTTTCGGCCTGGGTTTTTGAAGGAAAACAGCCCGGAAACGAAGCATGATAAAATGTTCATTTGCGGACGGTAATTAGATGTTTCACCACCGATTTAATATTCAAAATTTCCAGACGAAGTAAGATGGGCTCGTTGGTTTAATGGAGTAATCTGGCTACTAATAAGGTCGTAGTGTCGATACCTAGCGGACTTAAACTTTTTCTGATCAGTTTATTATTCTAGACATTGTAATCTGGATATTAATGATACTATCCAAACCATCAACTTTAATCGCATTTCGGTTTCAGTCTACGGATTTCCGAATATCCAAAGCCAAAATAGGTCGACAGCATATCGTTTGTTATACACTGTTGTAATGAAAAAAATTAAAAAAATAAGACTAAAACAAAAAATTTTCGGAAAAATATAAATTGATTAGAAACATGTTTGTCCCTGTGGGAATCGAACCCAGGGCCCCTTGATAATCAGCCGCACATTGCTACGGTTAGATGAAGCCCGTCAACAGTTTAAAAATTCTTCCACATGATTAGCCTTTTTCACTTTACAACGGAACCCTAAAGCCTGCTCCTCCCTCTATACAAATTTGTTGAGCTAACAGCTTTGATGTTAACGAATTAATTTATTCTCCGTCCATTATCCGGCCAAATTGACCTCTAGCTCTTTTGAACTTACACGCCGTTTACAAAGCCAACGTTTACGCTTTTTTATCCCTTTTACAGAGGGCACTAGTTGTTAAGCGATTAAAACTCTAAAAGATATAGAAATAGAGAATATACTTATTTAACTTCAATATTTAAATTATTATTTTTAAAGTAACTATTTGATTAATGAATTAAGTTAAAAATCGGTTCTATTATATCCGTTGACCGCCTCTGTAGCTAAATGGTTAAACGCGTCGCCTTGCGTTGTCTGAATCACGAAGGGTCCTAGGTTCGAATCCTAGGAAAACAATAGATTATTTCGGTCGGGCAGGGCACAGAAGTCCGATCAACTACTCGCCTGTAAATAAGACCGATCAGTGAAACGAATAAAGAAATGTGTTCGCCCCATGCCCCTCGGGGGGAAACGGGATTTAATTTTCTTAATAATAAATACATTTAAAAAAAATTAAAAAGTTATAAAATTTAGATTGTGTCTTGGGTGTTCTTCTCAGTATTGTATTCGTTATTGCACTTACGTTGAAACTAGGGTTGCGAACCAAATATATACTGTACTGCATAAGCAACAGTAAAGATTATATAAAATTAAAATTAAGCAAGCAACAAATCCTTTTTTTTATGTTAACTTTTGAGTGTTGTTTAAACTTTTTTTAAGTTTCATTTTAAAAATAATTGTAAATATTAATATTCTACATTCGTTCGTCGAACAGGTGTTTCGTGTGCTTCCATGTTTCATGAGTTTACAATTCGAATTTCAAATTAAATAGTGTCCATGTAAACACAGGTAAATGTGAGTAATAGGCTAAATGTCAATGTTGTACAGAATTTTATGCCCATTAAAGTATGTTAAATTACTGCAATGAAACGGTTACTATACGGTATATCGACCGATAGTCAATATTTTATTCGTAAACCGAATATCTACAAGTATGGTAAAAAACAATACATTAATATATTTTGTGCGGCATAGAGAAATAATTGGTAAATGCCAAATTAATCACTCATTTTATATTGCCTCCTTTTATTTCTCCGTAATAATCTATAAGTAGTCATTGGTCCAGAATTCTAAACCTAGTAGTATTCGAAACATAAGCTAACTATTTAAAATCGAAAATAGCTTGAAAAATACGTCTGTACAAGTTTTCGGAGCAAAAATCAGCCGACTCGGTTGCCTAATATTCGACATTTTTATTGCACCCTCATTGAAAGCTCATGATTTCGGTATTAGGTCCATGCCCTAGTCATTTTTTTATACTTTATCTGTCTACAGACTTTTAGTTAATTAGACCCTATCGGATACCTACCGATGTGCAATAACACTGTTACCCCAGATTAAAAGTGTAGCTCAACACAATGCTAACATTTATAAAACGTATCTCGCAAAATACTTAATTTGATTTTAGTTTGTATTCATTGGGTTTCAATTCATCAACAAAATCTTGGAATATCCCGAACTTTGTAAGCTTAAGCTTTTAATCTGTTTGACGGAAATAGCAAAGTAAGTCGATTGAAATACACGAACTAGAATCTATTTCAATTCAACGGAAAACAAATCGATAATAGGATAACATCATCCGATCTCTGCTAATACATACAACTGAAGAGTTTGTTTGTTGTTTGTGAAAAGAAATGGGAAAATTATTGATCATTATGGGTTTCCGAAGCGTAAGCTGCAAAAACGGTTTAAGATAACAAAAAAATGTCTACGAAAGAATGATTCCTCTTTAAATGATCTAAATAATGTCCGTGACACTAAATCACCTAGCTGCAAGAACGACGGGACGTGGCCGACATCGTGGCACTTAAATTTATAAACATGGGGGAGAAGGTTTGAAAAAACAATTTGTCCAACATCACAATTTTACGCAAAGGAAGTCGCTGACACGCTGAAAATATATTTGTCTAAATAAAACCCCTGTAACGGTTAGTGTAACAACAGTAAATCTCAAAAAACGGCACATCGATATTTAAATAAAAGACTTTAACGGTTTAAAACGTGATATATTGTAGCAGCCGTGGTCACGGGGAGACCGTCTCCCCGTGACCACGACTGCTGCAAAGCATCCGAAACGTCGGGCCGAAGTAAAAAATCATTTCCAAATAATTTTAACTAATATATCGCGTTTTAAACCGTTAAAGTGTTTTATTTAAATGTGTACTACTCGCGTAAACTATAGACGGCACATCGATACATGAGAAAGTAACGTGAGTCAATCCAGTAAGGCTCCAACTATTTTCTCTAAATACATATAAGACGAAACAGATGGTTACTTAGCAGATTTGACATTGACATTTGAAACACGCTCCATCTTCAGCCCCTCGTGACCGCAACTACTACTAAGTATCCGAAACATCGGGCTGCAGTTAAAATAAATGAAACACACTAACTAATATGTTTCGCGATTTTGTACCGTTAAAAGTGACTTTTTACTACCAGCCATAAGCACAAACTATACATACATAAACTACACTACCCAAATCTGTTCGCAAAATATCAAATCTATCATCGCATATTGTTGCCCATACATTGATTTTGTGTTGAAAATGCAATTTAGCAACAACGCAGAGGAGCGTAAGTGATTCCGACAGAACTTCCAAACCAATGGGCGGAAATTGAACGAACCGCACTCAGATAGCTGAAGCGATAAAAGTAAAATGTATAAAACATTCCTAAACGTTGCAAAAAATATCGACCTAAGTACGGAGTAGAATACCATTATACAAATTAATGCTACGATACTCGACTACAGATGTCGTTGTCTATAGTTCGATGTGTTTCTTCGTTATATGCTTTGCTTGTTAGAAATACTAAGTTCAAGTACAAAGTAGTTATATTCTCTTAATGGGGCATACTTGACTGGTCGGTTATATTACAGACAAGAATAGGTGATCAGATTTCTTATAGGTACTTTTTTATATAAAATTATTGTAATTTTAAATTGTTATAAAAAATATAAAAATCGCGTAAGATAAAAGCTACAACAAGTGGTTTGATTTGGCAAGCACAAATTTTATACGAAACTCCCTTATATTTCTATAAAAAACTTAACGGTTTAAAAGGCTGTATTTCTAAGCTAATTATTTTTTAACTACCTCTCCCTCACTACCAACCTAACAACTAAATCTATTTCTTAACAAGTACACTTAAGAAATACATTATTAAGGGTTTTTTCGATATATACATATAAATCACAAATCCTTTTTACACATAAGCGACCAACATGTATCAAGATTTGAGTTTTGTTTTAGATGTTCGGTATGCTGAACGTACCCCATACCTCTGGTAAGATTCTCCGGTACCCTGGACCTTCCAGACCTCGCGGAGGATCTACTTTCATGGTACCCCCGCAGAGGGATAGGTAAGTTACAATCTTGAAATACCATTATTAATTTATTTTTAGTTTTGAAATAAGTATTATCAAAAAAGTTTAAACTTATCTGACTTTGTATTGTCTATATTTTATAACATTGTTCGTTGAGGAGTTGAACAGATGGACATTTATAAATTATAATTTGTTCTTTTAAAGATTCGAAGCTCTAAAGAAATTGATAAGGCAGGAGCACATCCGCGAATTACAGAGGAAATACGAAACGGAACAAAAGCAGGAGTTGAAGGAAATTGCTGCTGGCAGGGGGTGAGTGATACTATTTGACAAAAGTAACGTGAAGAAACTACATTTTTATGGTAGAGGAAGAGTGACAAAACAACATAGACGTGCTGTCAACCGATTTTTGGCTTTAGACATTCGAAGAGTTACCATAGACTAAAAAACGAATTAACTTTTTCTTAATCAATAATAATAATCTATTTAATCTCCAAATTAGATTATGAAAACGACTCAGTTAGGCGTAGAAAACCCAAAAATTGATTAACGTATATTTTTTGGAAACACTCAGTGGGAATCAAACCTGCGACTCTTTGGTTACAAGCTTAAAGTGAGCGTCTAAATTTATTAAGAATATATTAAAAACGCGAAATTTACACGTTTTAAATGAAAAATATTTAAAAAGCCTATAACAATAATACAAGTAAAAAACAAAATGATTACAGTACCTAAATTTTGTAGGCAAGATCTCACCTACGAGTCGAGGTCACCTACGAGTAGAATGCTTTGAAGAGAATTTCCGAGAGCCGTTTGAAAAGAATTCCTTATGTTAGTTAATTCTTTCTCTTTAGTAATCTCGGGTGCGAATTAAAATCAGCCGACGTCAAACCTTACCCACACAGCTGCTCATAATTACAGTTGGGCATAGAGTTTTTCACAATTTTTATAGCAATTTACATTCTTTCCATTTCAATAACTTAAAAATATTATGTTCAACATTTTTAACGGTTTAAAATGCGAATTATACTAAACAAGTTTTTTTTTGTAGTTTAGTAGTACACATTTAAATATAACGAATTAAAACCCGTGCGACCGCGACTGTTGCAAAGCGTTCGAATGTCGGGCTAACATATTTATGACATATTCGGGCATACATATAACATATTTTACGTCTTAAGCCGTAATAAAAGTATTTTATTCAAATATATTCGATTCTTCGCTTACGCACGACAAACGCTGCTGCAAAGCATTAAAAACGTCAAATCACAGTTTAAAAAAAACTAAACCGATATATGTCGCGTTTTAAACCGGTAGTATACGATTTATTTTGTAATACTAGCAGACGCTACATACTTCTTAAATTTTTCTTATTTGTTATTTTAGTATCTTTTACATTAACTTAATAAAAAATGCAATTAAACATTGGTCCAATGTTCAATGCACGTGTACTCTTCTGTCTGTGGAATGAAAGAGAAAATGGGTCGACAGCGCATCGTAATAAAATGTTAGTCTAAAGAAATTTAATTTCATCTGACCGTTCATTAAAAGCGAATTTCATACTAAATATTTGAAACAGCCAACAAACAAAACTTCCCATACACTCTCTTGTTAAACAAATTTAAAAGTGAAAATGTTTCTCATAAATTCACTTCAAGCATATTTACCGCAAAAGCTGTGTTATTAAATTTTAAAACTTGCCGCCTCGGCGCTTTATGGACTAACTTGAATCCGCTAAAGCCCGTACGGTTATAGATAAGCCCCACCTAATTCTATTTTATTCGCTGTGTAACTTGCTTCTATACATTCTGGGAACATCAAGAAAATATGGGACCGGTATTTTTATTCATGCCTCTTGGGAAAATAAGATAATCCTAATAGAAAAGATAAAGGTTAAGCGCGAGTTGCAGCCTTGCCCGAAAAAATCCGTATTATTGTTACTAGTTACACAGATTCTATGTTCGTTAGTGTTCCATGAGTCTGTAGTAAGTATTCATTAATATCTGCCAAAAATAGGCAACAAATTGTGTTTATGATACTATATTTATTACGAATATTATTTAGTCCTACTGATATTATAAACGTAAAAGTTTGTGTGTGTGGATGGATGTTTGTTACTCTTTCACGCAAAAACTACTCAATGGATTTCAATTAAACGTTCCAATAATATAGCTTATAATGAGGATAACACATAGGTTACAATTTATAAAGATATTGTGTGAGCTGTCAAAAATATGACATTAAGTGACGAGTAACAAGGAAAAACCTACCTTTCTGCGACCCCACCCCACCCCTTCTTACCTACCGGACGCAAGAGTCGATCAGAACCACCTCGTGACAGAAAGACAGACAACTAGCCTTTCTGTTTTCGAAATACCAAGATTGAGACAACTCCAATTTTAAATTGTCAAAGATGAGAAAATATATTTCCTAAATATCAATTGAAATGTTACAGAAATGAAGATTATCCGTACGGCGCATATGGTGAACAGGAACCACGCGGGCTTCAGGCAATTGAGTACGCCTCGGATGACCCAACTGCTAGGCACAATAAGTAGGTGTCATGGTCTTTAGTGTTGAAATTGACCAAATACCTTTACTAAAAAGGGCAAAGGAACTTAGATCCGTTATTTCAATGACTCAATCTTGACACAGGTTCACCTTTTACCAACTACATCCATACTAATATATTTCTTTGTTAGAACGAACCAATGTCAGGAACGACTGGTTCGAATTAAAAATATTTTTTTGTGATTCATCTTTGAGGCTTTCCGTTAGGTTGTCATAAACATAATATGTATATAATGATAATTTGTCTTCTTTAAATAACCTGAAAGAATGTTTTCGACATTATATGTCCATCTTTTAATATTTACGAGACACTTTTTAGAGTAATCAAATTTGGTCAAAATCCTTGGTATGGCAAAATAACTGTTAATAAATAAAATATATTAGGTCGCCTTTATCAGGATTTCTCAAAAAGCGTACATCGAACTCAAGGAACTTTATTCTCCTAGGAAACCGCCAGCCGGCAGCCGTCAGGTGTCCCAGTTCTCTCGTTACTCCGACGTGATGCTGCCCCCGGTGCGACGTACCGTCTACCCGTACATGGAGTACGCTGTCCCCGACTTCATCCCCTACTACTGAGCTCTCCCCTCGCCCAGAGGATCCAGACATTCCCGGGGGAACCCTCGTACAACTTCACAGGCTTTAAACCATTTATATCAGTATTATTATGGTCATATCTCGTACCATATCGCTTTCGCTTCTCGACGCGAGCTTCGCATTATTTTTTTATAAACTGAATTTTTACGTAGATTCGTATTTTATCTTTAATATTTTTATAGAGTAAGATTAGACGTTTTAGGACTTCCAAATGACAATAATTCATTTTCGATTGATTATTATTATACAAATATCAATTACCTTCCCGTCAATTTCTTGGCGTTTGACAATAAATGCATAAAGTGTTTAGTGTTATACAATCGATGTTTATTAGTATATAAATAAGATAACAATGTTTGTTAGATATAATCGAAATTACACGACCTTGAATAAGCTCGCTTGGAAAAAAACTTCAGCGGAATTCCTTTTTCCACGAAGTTCAGTCTGAGCCCGACGGTTTCGTGGAATAAAAGTTCCATTCCTCGTCACATCTTTATCTGTGTGTTATTTACAACATTTACGGCGGTCTGTACCTGACGATATCGATCAAGTCAACCACGACAGTATTTCTTGAAAACACGACTGGAAACGACAAAAGCGTATTGCATTTATTTGAATTAATCAATTATGAGAATAATCCTGTAGCTTGTTTGAATATCTATACTATATTATAAATAATTATTGTTGTGATTAGATGCTAAGTGTACTTTACTAAATATTGTATTTTTCAAAAGCCTTCGAGACGGCTACGGTGGATGCGCGGCCGAGCACACAATGCTTTAACTACGTTTAACTGTTTCACGTTTAATAAAATTATTTGTATTCAGCAGAATACACGTTAGGTTTAGATTTAGGCAGCCTTATGCAAGTCCATAAACAATAGATTAAAGAAACAAATGGGGTCGCCGTAGCGCGGATCGATATTTTTTATTTTCAACAAACACAGGCTTGACACCATGTTAACTATTGTACTAATGACTTATGTATTTATCGTGTCAAATCTTTCGACTTATATGTATAACGGCGAGAACCGTCGGCATAAACTTACAGACTATAAAATTTGGCTTTAAAATATTGTATTACTTACATATTTCAGCTTTAAGCTAGTCAATATTCGTTATCCTTTTATTATTAACGGACGGACGTCCTTCCTACATTACTAATGTATACAATATCGTTTATTTATATATAATGTTTTAACAATATTCTGTAGACGTTTACAAAGTTATTTTATTATCTATGGATGGATTTAATGTTAGTAATTTTAGCATGTCATACGTACTTATCCGGAATCAATAATTATTAGGTGTTAAATCGGTGTACTTAGAGTGTGCGAACATATCGACAGTATAACATATTAATAGTCATATCGAAATTTTAAAACGATTTTGAATATTTTTTGTAAGCTATCGCTCGATGGTTCCCATTGTATAGGCGCGGTAGCTTAAAAATACACGACAATAATAAATGCTAATACGTGGCATTATTGTAAATTATGACAATAATATAAAATTCTTTGACAATAAAATGTTTAGCGAAAAAGTGTAATTGTACTTAAGGTATTATCCATAGAGTTTAAATGTTTTAATATTTTAATTGGTGTTTGGTTTTTCGAAATAAAGATAGTTACATACTCCTGAGCATAATGTTTTTTTTATTTAAACCCACCATTTGATCCTGTCGTTTTCTTGCGCCAATGAAGGCGCCATCCAACTTAAGCAACGATACTGTCGCAGCCATCTTGAATGCAACTTAGGCGCGCAAAAATCGGGAATGTCATATAAGTCAGAATAAGTAGGATCAAAATAAGCTGTAAGGTTGAAAATGATAAATTAAATAAGTAAAAACCATATTTGTTATGCCTAAAACCCTTCAAAACCATAAAACTATACTCAAAGAAAAGCCACTAAACAAAATATTGCGTATATATTTCCAGCTAAAAATATACCAGACTCGAGAACAATATATAGTTATCGGAACAAAGTTGCCTCAATCCGGTCAGTTTTCCAGAAATTCGGGAATAAGTTTAAAAGTTTTGCCAAACTTCAAGCAACTTATAATTAAATAGGGATCTGCGTGTAGATTTTGTTAAGGAAAATCGAGACTTTCAACATCTTTGACCTTATCATGAAATTCCTTCTATAGCTATATAACAAAGGCTTACGTTTATGACGGAGCAAAGACAAACCTGTGGCTTACCTGATGGAAGGTAGAAAACATCTATTCAAGACACGCTGTCGAGCTATTTTGGCTTTCACACGAAATGACTTCACAGCTTTTCCATGTTTTTGTAGTTTACGAATATCGATATTCCTGCCACGAATACCACTTAACGTCCAGATTCTGAGGATACTCGGTAACAAGGCATGAAAAATCAGACATTCATTTATAAGCATGTTGGGCCCGACAGTAATGGATCCAACCCGTTGTTTATAAGCAAAGTAAGCTATCACTGAACATAAGAGCTGCTTATTCATGATTTACTAAAAAAACAGCCTTGCATGCATGTTTGAATGCTTTTGACGGTATATGGTAGTCGGGCCAGGTTTTCTTTTGACCAGATTAGGTTACTAATAAAAACGCCACGTGTTACTACTATAGACGACTCCAACGACATTAAGACGCCTAGATTAGACAGGGCTTGTTCCCGAGGTAAAAATTAAACATTATTTACTCCATATAACATTCGTTTGTGAATAGTGGTTAAGTTGTTTAATTTATGTAAAAGTAAGCTTACCCCCAGCCCCCCCCCAGCTTCAAAGTGATCTACAAATCTATACTAATATATAAAGCTGAAGAGTTCGTTTGATTATTCGAGCCCGCTTATTTTACAGATTCGAATTGAACAATTATTTTTTCGTCGGTTAGAGCATTTATCGAGGAAGACCAGAAATAAAAAACACTGTACATATACAATTTCTTATATATCTTTACATTTCAAATAATACAGGCGGTTATATAAATAAATAGGTTTTCACACGATTAAAATAGTCGAATGTGATGTACAAAATTTTAAGATAAACGTTTCTAGGAGGTATATAATACTAAACTGTACATGAAGGTATACAAATAAAACATTATCACTACGTATTCATGGAGGCGCCTCCGTATATCCCTTCAGGGTACATTTCTCAAGCATTTTAGGCGCGAACTTAGTAAAGAAGTTCTGAATATACACTTCGGGCGGGAATTTCCTATAAACGATAATCAAAAGTGATCATTATTTATTGGTGTAAGGACCAAACATACAAACAGACGTTCCTAATTTATATAATATATTTAAACGTTCTTGTAGAGTTCTCATCTATACCACAACGAAGGGCAACGAGAGAAGATTTCAAATTCATAAACATTGTACGTGGAAATTGATTTATTTAGTCAACCTTGAATAAAGGAATAAAAGGGACAACAGCGTAATGTCTTTACGGCCCCAAAAAGGGACCTTATTATTGCACTATTAGAGTAACGAGTCAGCCTTTTCAATATTCAATTCAATATAATGGGGAAACGAAATTCTCTATATTAAAAAAGGAGTCACTAATCGTATACTGGCGATCGTAGAATAAAAAAATATGTTATTGCTAATTCAAGGGCGCACCAGGAGAAAGAGGCGGAGAGAGCAATTAGTGCCCCCCCCCCCCCTCCCAGTAAAAACTATTTGACCAGATAACGCCCATGCTGGTTATTTTTCCTTTTAGTGTCGCCTAACATAAGGTTTTACTTAGGACTATAATAGTACATTATGATATAAGTGCGGTAAGTTGAAAATTACAGCCAATTATCGGCGATATCGCGATCGGCGAGGGCTATAAGAAAGCAGAGGCTGTAATTTTCAAAGCGCACGTATGTCATACGACGTTTTATAACATATTTACGAGAAAATGACGACATTTTCAAATAAAAACAATACAGCGAAAAGAAAAAGCACGCGGAATTATTTTTACTCGTCCACAAATAAGCGATGCGCGCGCGATCAACGGTTTTTTTTGGCAAAGGTAAAAAAAACAGCCATTATTACTAATAAAGTAAATTAATATTTTTATGTTTTTGTTATAGATAAATGGTTGTAATTTATTGTCAAAATTAATTAAATTAAATAATTAAATGTTTATTTGTTATATTTTATTTCCCAATGTTAATTTTATTCATAAAATATTGACCACTTTCTTGACATAAAACCTTTTTGCTACGAATAAGAACACGTGCCTTTTACATTACATTATCGCACAAGTACGTAATGAGATACATTACGATATTGAAATTGGTGTAATTAAACCCACTTTACGAGCAAATATGTTATAAAATATTAAAAAAGTAACTACAAAACCTAGCATAATAAAAATTCGGAAACTTAATTATTCGTTGGTATACAAGAAATGCAGTTAGTAGACGTAATAAATAAAACTAAAATTGTGCTTCAAGTATTAATAAGAAATTAATGTTAAATTTGCCTCTCACGGAAATCATCAGCTACAAGTAGGCTAATTAATTAAATAACCTTATTTGAACTCCACTATAAGAAATGGGCTTCCGAGAAGAAAAAATAAGCAAAACAATGTTATAATAACCAAATTTCATTTTATAAGGAAAACTATTTATTACGGTATACGCCTATGATGATAAAGATTTTGATATTAGAACTATAGACTAATATTTTTATGAGACAGACAGGATACAAACACTGATACGATTACTGTCTGTTTGCTCTACCAACTGAATTAGCTTCTTTTTTAATTTTAAGAATTGAAACTTTAATTCCACCTTTAATAAATGAGTGTAAAGGCTGTACTTACCCCTTCATTGCGCGAGAGGTGAAATTCGATCAAGTGGACCGAGACAGTAGCCTAGCCAGTAGAACAGCACGGACCGCCGCGGAATCGAATCATTGAATTTTGCCCATAAATACATTTATCAATAATAAGGAATGTTGATATCGGGACATCTAATCATTGGCACTGCACGACGAAACGGTTAAACAATCTAAAATGTCTATAAAACAAAAAAAAACTTTAAATAAGACACTTAACGGTTTAAAACGCGATTTTAACCACGGCCCGGCATCGCCGTGCTCACAGCTGCTGCAAAGCATCCGACACCGATAGGGCTGTTAGTAAAATAAATTGTAAATAAGTTAATTAATACATTGCACAATTTAAACCGCCAAGTGTTTTATTTAAATGTGCACTACTCGCGTAAACGTAGACAATACTTATAACAAGGCTGACGATAAAGGATCTATAAAATTGCTATCCAGATACTAAAAATGCACTGAATTACCTCGCCCGTGCAAAATGTATATAATTATTTAATAGTATAAAAAAATTTTGCTAAGCGAAGACTATTTGAAATCTTGTAAAGGGTATACAATTCATACTATCTAAGTAGGTACATACTAAGCCTAAAATGGCACATACGAGAGCATCCGACTGTCATCGCCATTACTTACACCTGTTCGAAACTGTCAAAACAATACGTCACAAGTCAAGGGGAGACAGGGCTTAGACGAAATGTGTTACATTTCGTGACGTCACAATTTAGGGAGGGGACACACAACCGTAATTTACGTACGTCCTGAATCATCGATATTCGACAATTTCGAACAAAAGTGTCACAACTACCCTCCGCCGCAAAAAAATCGTGATATGAATCAATGTTCTTAAAAATAAGTTTGTGCTTTCCTATCTTATGTACATTATCGAAATCACTTTGAATAAATATCTCGGGATAATTGTTATAAAACTTTACTATACTGAGCATTAGGGATACTATATTGGCTGGCATCTACAAGCTGCATTAAAAAGATCTATTCTAGGTCTAGGAATGAGAAAAGAATCTTCAAAGTATTCTACTCAATAGAAACTATGTCAAAGAAATACAAAGTATGTAAAGGAATTCAAAAACCAACTCAAAAATTCTTTGTTTTACCATAAAATTCCGAAAGCTATAGTTATAGAAAATATATAGTTGTTCAATATACAAATAAAGCACTTTCTATATCCATTTTTTTTTACAATATCGACACTTAATGCTACGATTATAAAATACATTTGCAAACTAACGCTAATAGAACTATTGAAAGTGTCTATGTACATTCTATGTTTTGTATTTATTCAAAGTGACCAAAGAGCTGCCTGTATCAAAATTGTCGTTAAATGCTGCGAAAAGTACAATATTTATTGTATATACTGTTAATGTCGGTATTATATAGCGAACAAAGGCTGTCTTGTAATTTATGAAACAAATTTTCATATTTAGAAATAAACTCAAGAACATAATCTATACTACATTTCATGGTTAAACAAACTAAAAAAAACTAGGCAGTATATTTTAGTCCGGGACTAGTCCATTTGTATTCTGACTACGGAATCGTATGGCGGAATCGACAAAACATTACCACAATATCCAATTATAATTGACAAAAAATAACCCCACTTGTGCGGTCGGTTAAAGTAAGCAGTCTTCCTAAAATACTGGACTAACGCGACACTATAATAACAAATACTGGACCATACATTTAATAGGAATTTTTATTACGCCACCGAATTTATGAACTGGTATATCGTTTCTGCACGAAATTTGAAACTGTGAAATACTTTTTTGGTACATGATTCAGCAGGGGATGGTGAGCGATCCTCGACTAAGCAAAGACTATACTCAACTTTTGATGACGTCATCCATTCGTGACGAGGTAACGTCGAAAACTACTTCTCAATCACGACCACTGAACAGCGCCAAAAACTATCACATGCCTCCACATTATTTTAACGGAAGAAACTCTATACCAGAAATCTTATCTAATCCATCGAAAATACGCGAAAGCAGACAATTCTTAGTCCTATATTAAATACAGACCGACGAGTATTATTACGATTTACTTTTAAATATTCTAGATCAGCCTGTAAACACGAGTGATTATTATAGAAAAATACTAAAACAAGTCTATTTGAAGTCAAATCTAATGGTACAATTCTATTCTGCTATTGGCGGAAAATCAGTGCAACGCCCAATTGCTCGCCTCTGATTGGTCGAGAATTACGCGTAACTTTTTCGACCAATCAGAATCAAGCATTCTTTGTCACGTGACATATTTAGTGCAATACCATAGACTAATACAGGTTACATAAAGGCACTTAACCTCGTCATAGTAATGTAAGAAAAACGATAGTTTAATGTATAAAAAAATACTCGGTATTGCTTTTTGACCTGCACGTAAGCTTAGTCGTTTAATGACTTTTTATTTAGTTTTTGGTTAGCTTCAATTTAATCATTGTTTTCAATTTAACTATTATCCCAACATAGCAATCTAGACACTTATCCTTAGGGAATACATTTGAATATAAGTAGTTATACGTCTATACAATTAGGAATTTAAAAATCCAATTACATCGAAACAGATCTTGAAGTGATTTTTTCAAAGATGGTTTTACACCACTATCAGAATTATTATCTCATACACTCTCTCTATAGCCTTTAATACACGGAACAAATTAAACCCTTAAAACGGGTCAAGACACGAACTATATTAGATTATATTAATAATAGATATAATTCGCATTTTAAACTTGTTCAAATATCTGTATAATAAGATCTCTTATTCTGGCCATCTTTTAACATTTCCACTTATACAACAACTATGTTTATTCCACTTAACACCTTCCATTAATAGATTTCATCATACATTGTGATGAGCCAATGTTGGTGATTCCCAAAATTGTGATAAACGTAAAATGCCTAATGTCCTACACGATACCAATACTTTGGTCAATACAATCGCTACAGACCGCACAACGCACTGAGTATTTATAATACACTATCAGACTCCTTCATTGTAATGACCTGAAAGAAAGAAAGACTGATAAATCAATTTGTCTCTAGTTGAATCATCACAAAATACAGGAAAAATTAATATCGTTTAATTATAATTAACATAAAACATTTTTGTCTATTTTTATTTTATTCAAGGACTAATCATGAGAAAAAGGGGTTATGATATTATTTTCAAGGCAGAGGGGTAAATAACTTGGCTTTGGACAAAAGAAATTAAGTATACTGACTGACATCGCCAAACGCGATTAATCTTCACGGCTTATTTATCTGCTGATGGTGGTTCGTCCGTCGGACGGTAACCAGATTTCCAGATGAAATCCAACATGTTTGAGAAAAACAAAACCCGCGCCCGGTGATTATTAGCAATACATTGCTACCCATCCCGCGAAGTTTATTTATTCTCACTCTTAATGTATTAAAAAAAAAATTGCTATTAAAGTACGTGAAGACTGTAAAATTAAATGGGCGATAAAAGGAGTGGCGAGTTTCTTGCCAGGTCTTCTCGTTCGTTCTACGCCCTTGATTTGAGTACTGGTAGTAAATATAAATTTAGAGTATTTCGTTTTTAACTGACGTTCATAAGCGTACCTAGTCACCTACGTGAATAAATGATTTTTGACTGTGACTTTAGAGCTATCGTCAATCTTTACTTCTGAACATTTACCTGGTTCAGCTGGTACGCTCGTGCAACCGAGGCGTATATGCAGCCAATGCGCAGTAACAAGCTAGCACCGCACTCGGCGGTAATGGTGCAGCTGGCGGGGCCGGCGATGGCACTGGTGAGGGTTGTTGTGCGCACCTCGCGTGCGCCTGTAATGCGCATGCGCAGTATAAATCCGCTGACGTACAGGGCGTGGCGTGCTCCGCCCCTGGCTCTTGGATGTCGGGATTCCTCGCGCCTCCACAGGCTGCACTTAGAGCGCAGAAACTCAACGCCCGCCAACCACCATACCTACATTTTAAAGTATTTTAGATTACAACAACATATTGATGACATTTAAAAATACGAATATACTATATAATATACGAAATAATAATTTTTACCAAAATATAACAGACAAACAATAAATAAAAAGAAAAAAGCTTTGCACGATGTAATAAGTATGTATGTATTTTGAATAATTTCTATTTTAGTAACATATCTATATAATATATAATTTTGAAGTCACTACACGACAAGACAAGACACTACATTAATAGGACCATCTTGAAAATACTACTAAATATACTGCTACTTTCCAACAAAATAAATAAAACACTTTGAGCGGTTTGAAACGCGAGATATCTTAGTTAACTTATTAACTTGACATATATACGAATCGAAGCATGTATATTTTGAAATATGTGAAAAAGAGTAAACATCAATGTATGCCTGAAAAAACAAGAACTGAAAACTAAACTAACTAATGAATTAAAGGGATCTATATACTCACTTATCAACAACAACGACAGGCCCATTCTTATACTCCATCTGGCAGCCCGCAACGAACTCGATCAAGGCAAATGAGTCCCGGTATGGCGCTATTAGCCTGTCCAAAGCCTCCTCCCGTTCAGCGCCCGACCCTTGCCTCACCCCACGCACGTACACGTTATCGTCCGGGGAATTAACACTGTACTCTGCGGTGTCACCCGTCAACCACCCACAGCACTTAATAAACTTAACACTGAGCTGATAATCGTCTTGCAACGAATGCACACTAACATTTGTTACTTCAATCACTCTGTCTGACGGTAGATCACTAGTGTTTTCTGTTCTTTCAAAGTAGTATAACGGCCTGTGGAGCTCCATCTCTTCTTCAACTGTCAGGGAAGGTTGTATTGGAGGCGGAGGCGGCGCTTCTTCGGGTGGAGACCCAGCTCTGGCCCCCCATTCGGGAAATTTGAACTTCGTGGGCGAGCTTAACTTGAAGTTCTTTAGGGACATCTTTGAAGGGCTTCGCGGAGATTTGGGGCCGTTTTTCTTCTCTGATAATGACGAGAAGAGATCTCCGTTGGCTATCGACTTTCGGGCTGATAGATCTCTGCTGCCGTTGAGCGAGTCTAAGCGGAGTTCGGTTCTGTCGAAGCGGACTTCTGGATTTTGGATTGGTGAATTTTCTGGTATTAAACGTTCGTCATCTGCGCATTCGGAACCTTCCTGCCGTCGGTAGCCGTTGACTTCTGGTTCTTGGGGCGTTTCTACTGGCTTCTTATCTGAGCGGCGATGCGCCACATAGGTCTCTTTTGACACAAAACTAGCCCTAAAGTTTGCTATGAATAGCTCCCGACCATCTTCAGTAGGCCAAAATACATCGTAATCCTGTAAAAAAATAAAAGTAAAGTAAAATCATAATAGTATTATAACTAATAAACTACTACTAAACAAAGCAGGTGATTAATTTTGATGGGAGGTGAAATATTCCAGCTATATAACATCTACACAAGATGCGCTGTCGGCCGACCTATTTTGGCTTTGGATATTCGGAAATCCACAGACTGAAACCGTAACGCGATTAAACCTCACGGCTTTTAAATCTGTGGACGGTGGTTCGTGGCCCGGGCGGAAATTCGATATTCCTACCACCCATTTAATGTCCAGATTTCCAGACAAGGTCCAACATGTTTATAAATTAAAAAAATAGTAGCATGTTGGACTCAGGGGGGATCAAACCCATACATTGCTACCTTTCGATCAACGAACCCGTCAAATTTTTTTAAAGATTTTAGCACTGCTACATAGTTACCGGCTCTGAGTCTGACAGGAACAGCACCAGTTGTCCGGTGTGGTCCCACAACAATCGCCAGAGTTCCCCGCCTTCGCCCGGATGCTGTGCAACAGCATATTCGCGCATGCGCCGTCTTCCGCACACCCAGGACGCGTTTACGTAATCACTGCCTACATTTTTGAAGGAAGAAAATTAGCTTCTTTAAAGAAACAAACATAGTCATTCTAAAACTAGATTCAATCCATAGCTTAAACATAAATAAGATGTATAACTATAATAACGTAAAAAAAATATTAAAACTTTAACATTTTTCACATTCGTTAACATCACATTTGTTATTTCACATTATGGCACTATGAATTAAACCTATTACAAATTAAAAAAAATTACGCCTCGGGCAGGCTTGAACTGGCATCATCAGTTTTTTTGTGGCCTAGCAATTGAGCTACCGAATTTTACACCTCATCATCGAATTTTTCAAGTTCTCGATACATGCACTTCTCGCGCAATGTAATTTCAACCTTTACACTTAAATTTAAAATTGCTATTACAAATACGTAGTTTGAGAACAAAGCGTTCTAATTATATTGCCTAAGCTCATATTTATAGAATATTTATTTTTTAATAATTATCCTATTTACTTATCTTTGTTATTTTGATTTTGAATACTAAAGGTGTTTACTTAAATCTGTATATTTTGCAAATGAAAGAACAAACCTTCCACCCCAGGTTTAGGAACAAGCATCACTCTAGCAGAATCTGACGGTAAGAAACCGCCCGGTCGATTCTTCTCCGAATTGTGTGCTGCTCGTGCGCATATACTTGGTTCAACGCACGATCGAGTTATAAGCTGAAATATACAAATAATATATAATATAAATGTAATAACTATAAAAACGAAATCCTAATATATTTTAGTTGACTTTTAGTTGACCTAATACCTCACTGGAGTTAGCTTAATCAGCCCAGCCATGATTAGCCAAACAAACGAACAAATACTAGTTATTATACAAATATTAAATAATATAATCCACCTGATATTGTTTTTCCAGCAAATTGACAGGAGGCGGCCCTTGATATGTCGGCTGTCGATTAGATAGCGAACGCATACGTTCTAATAAAGCGTAGTTTTCTGCTCGATTTGCTCTGTAGGAACAAAAAATACCTTGTTATAATCACTCAATACATATATAATTTTCTTGGTACCCATATCCGTCTCGAAGGACCAATTCCTGATAACACAGGCGATGTAAATTTGAAATATAAAATGATTACTAACCGTCTTATTTCCTCTTTCTCCTCCTCACTCATGCTATTATAAGCCGCCATTTTCTTACTGTAGGTGTCAGTTGATCTAGGTGCCAAATCATATACGCCTTCGCTCTCATCTCCGTTAACCAACACCTCCTTTTCTTGGCCATCGGATGACTTGCTCGGCTCGCTCATTTCATCTGTTTTCAATGACATTTCGCTTCCATTTTCCAAGATTTCCGTCTTGTTATCGCTGTTAGATTTAATACTCGTGACGTCATTTCCTACAGTTGTCAAATCGTTGATGCTTTTTGTTTTTGACGAGTTTACATCCATTACGGCTAGATCTTCCTCTGATATGGGTTCTAATAGTTTGATCAGGTATTCCCGAGCTTTGGAGAACTCTACTTCAGTATTGCCAGATCTAACGTACTCAAGTAAGGCATCGTGGACGAATACGTATTGTTCTTCTGTTTGTACGAGGTGGTTTCTTTGTGTGCGTGCACGGCAGAGGAACCCGAGTGGGGATAGGGTTCCCGTTAATTTTAACTGGTTTAATTGTGCGTCTATAACTATATATGTGCCTGTTCTACCTACACCGGCGCTGTAAAATTTCATTACACATTAACACTATAACGTATAGCATTTCATAAAATCTCTTTAAATAAGAATTTTAGCTAATGGACTATACCTGCAATGTACCAGTACGGTGTGCGGATCAGCAGCGGCCTTTACGAAGGGTAGCACAGCCAGAGGATGCCTGGGCGTGCCATGATCTGGCCAAACAGTGTAGTGGTATTGGACTATATGCCTATATCTATCCGGGCTATCTTCTGTACCTGGTTCCGTGATCTGCTTTCGAACATGAGAATTGATATAACAGTTTTTTTTTCTATGATAGGGAAGGACAGAGAAGCATGGTGTTCACTCGATGGTTGGTTAAATACCCCAGCCACATAACATCTACACAAAATCCGCTGTCGACCTATATTGGCTTTGGATATTCAGAAATCCAAAAAAAAGTAAGTAATAAGGTTTAAAGGATCACAAAGTGGGGATATATTGAAGAGTATGCAGAAATAAAACTGTTTTAACAAATGTTACACCCGTATACCAAAGTATACAAAATTTAATGAAATAGTTAGGTGTGAAGGTGGTATATAGTCACTTACGACAGGAGTGGCTTTTAGGTGTCGTATTGTGTACGCAGCACGAACATCTTCATACAACAAGGTGACGTGAACTCCGCCAAATTCAGCGGAACTCCCACGCCCACCAGACGGCCAGTACATGTCGCATTTCCGCTGTAAAAAACGGCGAAAATTATATTTAAATTATGTCATAGTTTAAGGAATTCTGATGTAATAGATATTCCGCCCAGCAATTGATAAAAAATAAACTTTATCACAATTTTATTAGATTATGTGTACTTATGTGTGTGTACGTGTCATTCGTGTGTGTGTGGTGGGGTGTGGGATGGGATGCATATTCATCATATTTATTACGATTATTTGTAAACTTCATGGTGGTACATAAATTAATACAAAATATATACACTTACCCGTCCTCTTTCAACCAGATTTGTGATCATGACTAGTGTCCTGACTTTGTGTTGCCAGATCATTCTCCAAAACGCGTCCAGTGTGGCAGGTGTAGGCCCCTGTGTTGCTATATATCGCCGCTTCCATACGACCCACTCCAACTTTATTTGTCGCACTACACCATCTGAATATAAAAATATGTTAGGACGATAGTATATTTGAAAATAAATACGAAAAAAAAAATGTCACAATGTTGAAGAAGTTTAGTAGGTAATCTATGTATCTAAGCTTATAATTTACAACAATCAACTCTGATACGTTGAAACACTAAAATATTCATTGATGCTGTAATGAATACGATTATATCCAAAGTATGTACTAAAAGTAAAATGTAAGGTACAATAAGGCAATCCCTCAGGGTATATTTTTAATTAATGAATCCTGCTTCCCCCCGCGACGCCTGGGAGGAACGCAGCTCTTTTCATTGATCTATTTTATTTACAGGCAAGTAATTAATCAGGCTACTGTGCCTAACCCGCGGGGAACTATTTTTTTTTTGGGTTTTGTACCCAGAACCACGGCAGGTCTTATTACAATACTAGTCAACACATTTTAGTCGTTGAACTAGAATAATTGTATTAATAATACTTTTCAAAACTACTATTTAACTAACTTACTGTTACTTTTTTCACATTTTATTATTAAATAATTTTCATGATGCCATTATATAAATTAAAAATCGATTTAAGATTATATTATAAAACTCGACGATCAAGTGCTTGGAGCAATGGCACAAAACGGTGGTTGCCGGTTCGAGTCCTGCTCGAATCGTGAAATGTTTTCAATATAAATAATTTAAAATTACTTACTAATATTAACAAACACATCATCTAGCTGCTCGTCATCGTCGCTTGTCTCCGAGTCGGAGTCCCTCTGATCGTCAGATTCTACGATACCAGAAAACTCGATATTGAGGAAGGCCGATTCGATTCCTTCAGCGAGGTTCGGCGGTGGTTTGATAGCTTTCACTGATGGTTGTCTAAAAATAAATACAAATTAATAATGATTACAGTTCATGGTCCGTGTCACTGGCATTTTTAATAAGTTAACGTATATTATTCTTAATAATTAAAAGCACATTCTTAAAAAAAAAACTAATTTCAATATTGCTAGACGTTGCTCGTTCCTCTAAAAAGAACGAGAAGATAATTCGAAGACTTATGATGTCATCACTACAGCCAAAAACCTCGCAAGTGTCTTAGGTAAAAGGCTGCGAAAGCTCTACACTGTTTATAGATTATTAATACTTTGTGTCAGTTCAATTTATTTTTATTTAAAATCCAATACAACATTATTTTCTTTTAATCAAATATAGTTTACCTATTAGGTCTATTTCTTCTTTCCAGTCTTCTCTCGATACGCCGAACGGTGTCTTCATCCAAGGCGGGAAGAATGCCATCTATGAAGTTTGCGTTGACGTAATCGCACGCGGCACCGCGACCTGCGCCCACGCAGCCAGCCGCGCCGCACCGACCTCCGGACGAGACACAGACGCGCGAATGGTCATCTGCAAACATCATATAGTCTGTATTGACGCAAGGTTCATAACAAAAAATATATATTATAGTATCCAGTATGTTCACCAACATGAGATAGAAATAAGGTGATATACGATTTTTATACCACACATACACTTGATCTTTTTTTTGACAATTTTTTTCTGGTGGGGACACCTTAGAAGGTCGGGTGATCGGTCCACACCATCAGCTGACTATTTAACGCATTACCCCATTTCCTACTTGAAGAGGAACATAACATAAGATGTTTAAAGGTGTACCACTACAACGAGTAACTGAGTATAAGTACTTAGGTCTTGTGTAGAGACCATAGGGGGGGGGGGGGGGGGGGGGGGGGGGGGGGGGGGGGGGGGGGGGGGGGGGGGGGGGGGGAGGAAACCCCCCCCCCCCCCAGCCCCACCGGGGGCAAACGCCCCCCCCCCCCCCCCCCCCCCCCCCCCCCCCCCCCCCCCCCCCCCCCCCCCCCCCCCCCCCCCCCCCCCAACCCAACCCGGGGGGGGGGGGGGGGGGGGGGGGGGGCGGCCCGCCCCGGCCCCCCCGGGGGGGGGGCGGGGGCGCCCGGCCCCCCCCCCCCCCCCCCCCCCCCCCCCCCCCCCCCCCCCCCCCCCCCCCCCGGCCCCCCCCCCCCCCCCCCCCCCGCGGGGGGGGGGGGGGGGGGGGGGGGGCGCGGCGCCGGGGGGGGGGGGGGCCCCCCCCCCCCCCCCCCCCCCCCCCCCCCCCCCCTTTTTTTTTTTTTTTTAAATTTTAAAGAACCCCCCCCCCCAAAAAAAAAAAAAAAAAAAAAAAAAAAAACCCCCCCCCCCCCCCCCCAAAAAAAAAAAAAAAAAAAAAAAAATAAAAAAAAAAAGGGGGGGAACAGGGGCCCAAAAAAAAAAAAAAAAAAAAAAAAAAAAAAATTATTAAAAAATTTTTTTAAATATCTGATAAGACAATGTTAATATTCAAATTTTCAGTCCACCACTTTCGTTATCTGAGTGCCCTAGGTGAGGCAAGTGGCGGCAAATCTATGTTAATTTCACAGTCATGTCCGACCGAAACTGTATACAATCTTTATTTCTCTAAAATATAAACCAGAATCACTCGCTCTAAAAACATTTCTATGCAATAGAAATCGCCTATAACAATGATGATTGGAAATAACACAAGATACTCACAGGCTGTGATGTTTAAATATCTATTTTTCAGTCTATTTTCCGGTCTGTAGCTGTGATGACTCGTGTGACCCAACGCTGCTGACTTGGCCACCACTACTTCGTACTCCTTGCTGTAAACATAATGTGATAAGGTTTATTTTTTAGTTCTATCTATTAATACACTTCGACTGCTTAAACTGAATGTAAAAATAAATTACATTTAAGGTTAAATACTGTCTATAGTTTACGCGAGTAGTACACATTTAAATAAAACACTTTAACGGTTCAAACGCGTAATTTTTTTTTCTGAAACATTTTCATACGAAGTCTTAAATCTGGATATTAAATGATAGATAGGAATATTTGTAATTCCGTCCAGGTCACGAAACATCGTTCACAGATGAAAATGCCTGAAAGTTTAATGGCGTTTCGGTTTCAGTCTGAGGATTACTATATTACTAAAATTCGAAATAGGTCGATAGCGCATCTTGTTTTGATGCTATATGGCTTTGGTATTTGATGACCTCAATACTTGTCTGTCTCTATCATAAAAAAAATTACCAACTACTTATTAATTGTTATTAAATACACGCTTTGTTTTTCTTGAGGCATGGGCCTGGGATAGGAATGTATTACCTGAATCCGATATCTCCATCCGCATGCAACCTAGCGACATGCGCTGGGAAATACTGCGCACGCACAAGTGGACAATGCGAGCCGGCCATACGAGGTGGACGCCCGCACGTGGTCTCGCCCGCACCAACGCCTGTGCCGCACGACACCATTGGGGACGAACGGGACACTATAAATGTTTACTTTCATACATATTGCTGAATTTTCGTAATTAACTTTAGCTCCTTTGTTCAAAGGTAGCAATGTATGGCTACTAATAAAGAATTTATGTATTTGATTCCTACCATTTTTTTTAACTTATCTTACTCTTTAAAAAAAAAAAAAAAAAAAAAGAAAGGGGGGGGGGGGGGGCCCCAAAAAACCCCCCAAATTCTACTCCAACCTGGATATCAAAAATAGGTAAACCATTGTCTACAGATGGAAAATTTAAATTGCGTTTCGGTTTCAGACAGTAGTTTTTTTTAATATCCAAATATCCAAAATAGGTCTAATCTTGTTTAAAAGCTAGCTTGAGGATTTTATACCAATTAAAACTCATGCTTGTCGACTCTCTTGTGCAGTCTGTCTATAATCATCGAATTCCCCCAATCCTTTTACAAAACTCTCGCGCATTGTAATTTCAATCATAATATGTAGTTAATTATTTTAAAATTAAGTGCTTTTAAATACTGCATGTTTGAGTGATATTGTTGTAAAAAATATAACGTCGAATTTAAACAATTATTTTATGTATTTATTTTATACATACTCTTTCTTTTATTTGGATAAATAATTCTATTCACCTGGTTTCTTATAAGTGTTAAGAGGTGCCCTGGCTGCCCTCTCACCCCCTTCTTCCAAATAGTTGTACGCAGCACTGATACACTTGCTGAGGCGAGATCTGCATCTAATATAGGTAAACAAAATCAACATCGCATTTGCCACAAAGTACCTAACTATGCGAGAAAAACTAATTTATAATTGGTTAGAGATTTCAATTTCATATAATCAGATAGGTAGAAAGTACATAAATTAAAAATATTAGACAAATATGTACATGTAAAATGCACTAATCTATATATATATTATAAAGCTGAAAGGACGTCTTAAATAAGAAAGTTTGTTTGTTCATTCAAAGTACTAATCTCAGTCGGTTGCACCATCTTTTGCGTAAGTCTTTAATCAAAAAAAAAATTAGGCTGTCACCAACAGGAACGAAGAAACAGAGGGAAAAGTGGAAAAAAGGGGAAAATTATTAATATTTGAAAGCTTCCGTTGCGTGCGCGGCGACAACTGTTCAAGTTCGATTTTTAATTAAATCTTTTATCATTATGACCTGAACAGTCTTAAAAGTAAATCTCACCTCCAGTACAACAATCCAGCAGTAGCGGCTGCTAACACGATCATCAAAGCAGCTGCCAGGAGGGCGACAGAAGCGTCCGCTCCACGCATCGCTTTTCCCACTTCAGCCGGAGACATGGCTTCGGAATGGGCCGTACACCACTCACTGGATACAAGCTGAAAGCAACAACATATTAGATTATATTGTAATTTGGATAAATACTAAAAGTTTTTTGTGTCCGTTTCTGGAAAATCCTACTAAGTAGTTAAATTTTAGATACGACTTTCTTTAGTAGTTTAATATTGAACTTTTGTGAGAAATTCTACATATACATACGTGATTATATGACTATGTGTATATATTTATATGCATTGAAATAAATAACACAGACCACAATGGCATGTATTGTTGGATCATTAATGGACATGCAAAATTATGCTTAAACTTGAGATTTACGAACCGACAGAAAACCAAAAATAGCGACTATCAAAAGCCCTTTGTTATGGAAAATCTCCTATACAATGAACGTCGTACGGGTTTTACGAGCATTTTAGAAGTGTTATAGCACCTAAAAGTTATGGCTTTGAGCCATTAGATGTCTCTGAATGCAAATTTATTTTAGTACAGATTCGTCATCTTCAAGAGCCAAATTTGATACCGATATAAGAAATTCAAACACCTGTTTAATAGCTTCGAATCAATATTGTTCGAATGACTCCTATATTAATCATAACTACTGTCTGTAGTTTACGCGGGCAGTACAAATTTAAATAAATACTTTTAACTGGTTCAAACATGAATTGTATGTAAATTAGTACCCAGCTTTTTGTATTCTTTACAGCACCCGTGGTCACGGGGAGACTAAAGGTAGATGGCCTTCCTAATGTAAAAAAAAAACTGCTACGGTAGCGCCATCTGTTCCGTTAAGTTGGTGTTTGGCGAAATTGGCTGAGTCCATGCAAAATTGACTACTATTACTGAACTAGTGTAATATGGGATCCAGGTGTTTGATAACTTGAGGCCGTCCTCCCTATTGAAGTTTTTGTGTTTCTCGACCGCGTACTACTTGCGTAAATTACATACAATACTTAATTATTATGTTTCCAGGACTAAGCGATATTGGTAATCATAAAACTTAGATTTGAAAAAAGTACTTAAAAACAGATTACCAACCTCTGGCGGAGATTCAGTACCATTGATTAGAGCGTTTGGCCTCGCTACGGACACCGTTACAGCGTAAATCTTCACCTCGTAACGAGTTTCGTTCCATAATTCTACCTTCTGTAATAAAAAAAACTTTATATTAACAAAATTCCCTTTTCTGCAGAAAACGCAGTCTGGAATTCAACTTTTGGAAGTGTGAGTAACAGAAAGTTACAAAACCGTTGGCATCGATTATTATCTATACTAATATTATAAAGTTAAAGAGTTCGTTCGGAGGAATCTCAGTAACTACTGGTTCGAATTAAAAAAAAAAATGTTGGTTAGCCTATTTATTGAGAAAAGCTGCGACCAATAGGAGAGAAGAAAGAGCAGGAAATGAGAAAAAATTGTCGCAGCGCACGCTACGAAATCTTAAGGGCGGCAATGGGACAATGGTTCAAGAACCAAATAAATATGTATGAAAGAATATCTGTATTTTAAGATATACTGATAAGAACTACTTTTATTGTAATCAGATTTAGTCGAAATACCTCATATGGCAAAATAATACTTGCCAGGTCAGATAGATATCAATATATTGCCACCCAAGCCCAGCGCGCCACATTGGAGCATCGTAGTAAGTCTAAGTTTCTACGAGAGAAGAGGCATGTACTTAGCAGGGGGACATAATAATCGCAAACTTAACGCTTCGCAAAGACACGCAAAGTTCGTGTCCCCAAGGATTAAAAGAATATCACATTACTTAGCACTTTATAGGATTTCAGTCTATTCAGAATGAATGAATGGAAGCGTAAAATGTCTCGTTCAGGGATGGAAATGGGTTCCGATGGACACCTTGCCCCAATGCATGATTAATAAGGAACGCGTCGTGGGTTCAATAGCCTGGTCCAACAAGTTACAAAAGTAACAAAAAACTAGACAGTCTTCCAACTAACTATTTAATGTCTTAAAGCAAAATTCCACGTCCAGGTTCGACCAGGTCACGAACCAAGATCCACGGATAAAAAGTGTGAATGCGTGTTTCAATGTCAGAGATTTGTATTAATATAGACCCCTAGAATAGGACGACAACGCATGCTTAACTGAAGATGTTATAGAGTCGGGCTATGCCACCTTCGATCAAGTGAACTCCTCGAATACTGCTACTCTCTCCCAAAGCATTCTCCTCGCTACTGCATTAAGCATTTTTTTAAGGATAAGAAAAGACTGACAGACAAAGAAAGCGAAGGTGACAAATGTATCTTTCAACATCACTTACAACACTGATCGTCGTCTCAATTTCGTCCTTGTTCGTGGACAGGGTAAGCGTAGTCCTCGGCTGTTGCTCTGGTATCTTCCTCAACGTGACCACGTACTGATCTAGCGAGTTGTTGTACTCCAAGGGTTGACGCCATTGTAGATAGAGTATCCCTGGGATATTGCTTTATTTATAGGATAGTCGAATCAAATAATATATTAGAAAGCCAATTAAAAGTTTTCGCTCTTAGCTTCAATAATATAAAATTTACAAAAATGCAAGGTTAGATTAATTATAAATTAGAAGAAACATTTTTTTTAGTTATTACGTTCATATACAGAACTGGTCAAGTGCGAGTCGGATTCTAGCACGAAGGTTCCGTACTATTGAGTAATTTCATTTTGTAACCTTTTCTTAATTCCTGATAGCCTAGTGACAGACAGATACTGAAGTTGTCTTTGGCTACCATAAATAAGATTATCGTAAACATGTCTTTTGAGGTATGACAGTTGAATATTCTTCTTACTGTTTGGTAAATCACACGTCAGATTCAACACAATCGGAGCAGACGGCGGGTTAACGTCAGAAAGGACGTATAACGGAGCTGATTGGGGTCCCAGTCGCTGCAGCAGATCTTGTGACTTCACACCAGTTAGCTGGAAGTTGTAGAACGCTCGAACCCAGATTTTATACGGCGTGAATGCCTCTGCAAATAGTTATAAAATAAGATAATTTTAAAGTGAAATCACTTAAATAGTCAATAACATTAATTTACTATATAGTTTTCGTTTAGAAGTGTTTGAATTTTAGTTTTGTCTGTTGCCGAAATAATAAAAAAACACTTTTTAAACGGTTTTAAAACGTGACGTATTACGTGATAGTCTAGTACGTTATACCGCTTAATTCAAAAAACTACACTACGTATCTTCCTAACTTCTTTGTTTTGTATCTTATTTTTGTATTAAGTATTTTTTTGATGGTTGTTAGTCTGTCTATATCATAAAATCTCTTCAAAAAATTTTAAAAAATAATTATGAGTTATAAAGTCTACTCACTCAAATTCTTCAGCCGAAACCCGACAACCTTCGTAGGAACACCGGACGTATTCAACAGCGTGAGGTTCTTCGTCGCGTTCAAGTAATCCTCCATGCCCAGGTCGCTCCTGAACACGTTCCTCCTCTTGATCTCGTCCGAAGTGGGCACCCCGGTCACGATTATGGAATCGCTGGACCCCTTTCTGATAGCTACACCTTCTTCATAGTACAACACGTACGCTATTTGAGTGATATCAATTTTGGCCGGCGAAGACTTCTTCACCACCTCAATCGGCAACTCGAAGGCCTGGTGCGTCTCCACGTCGCTCTTCTCGTGAGTCGAGTTATCCTGCCTCCGTTTCCTATGTCTGTGGGACCTGACGTCCCTCCTACTTCTATAATCATCCGTCAATATATCGGAAGATGAGAAATCATCGTTGTATTTGAGTCTGTCGTTCCTGTATAAATTGTACGTATAGTCCTTCAGTTTCTCCGGCTGCGGCTCTTGGACTGGGGCGTCCGCCTGTGTGTTCTTGGGTATGACTTGTAGGTCTGGTTGTGTTGGGGTTTGTTCGTTGCGGTGGGTCGGGTCGAGGATGTGCACGGTGTACGTGGCTGGCGGGGCCCACGAGAGATGGATTTCGTCTGATATAACTCTATTCGCCGTGAGGTTCTGCGGAGAGGACGGAACTGGAACAAACAAACAAAAAAAAATTTAATGTTCGTTCTTATTATAGGTCTTGCTATCATAAAATCTATGTAGCCTATCAGAGTTGTAAGCGCCATTGGGTCAACGAATCGTGGGTTCGCTTCCCTCTTAACAAGTTTATAAATCTGCAATATTTTTACATGTTATTACATAATATAGATTAAAAATGGTGGGACTCGGTAGCTCAATTGGTAAGAGTATCAGCACGGAACGCTGACGATGCTGGTTCAAGTCCTGCCCGAGTCGAATTTTTTTAAAAATATACATATTTTAGATTTTTAAGTTTCTAAAAAGCAATTATTATTTTAACTATGACTGTACTGTAATATAATATGTATGAATCTTAAATCCATTCAGGTCACCGTCCACAGATAAAAAAGCCGTTAAGTAGGTACACTTACCACCTAGTCTGTGAAAAAATAAATTCGTCTGTTAAACAATAAACCCTTAATATAAAATAATAATAATACTAAATATTGTAATAATACATTCTGTTGAGTGGTATTGAACTCGACAAACACCGTTACATTAGTGAATGAACAGACCTTGTCGCGATGACCGGATATAGTAAAAAAACTAAGATAGTTCGAAATTATCATAAGCCAATGTACGAATACGGCTATACCGGTTCCATATGACGAAAATATGGCTGCCAACCGCTCTATAACATTATATATTTGACGGACGCGTCGGTCTAGTGGTAGCATTGTAGATTTGTCTAATCGACGGGTCGCAGGTTCGATTCTCACCGGATCCAACATGTTTCAAATTAATGTGTGTATATATCGCATTTCTTAAACCTGTCGGGCGTCGTCAGACATCTGGATATTAAATGAGTGGTAGTAATATCGAATATTCCGTCCGCGATATGAAGCACCGTCCATAAAGGAAAAAGGCGTAAGTTTAACCACGTTCAGGTTTCAGCTTGTGAATTTTCACATATTCAAATCGAAAATAAGTCGACAGCGCACTTATTGATATGTTATATGGCTGAGATGTTTCACATTCCAAAATATGCACATAGGGTTGTCTATTCTCGTCTACCATATAAAAAATACGATATTTTCACGATTAAATCCAAAAAAATAAAAATATTTTATAGCATTTCAACAACAGATACAATATTTTTAAAACACACTAGCTATTCCATCGCTTAAATGTCGGCAGGCCTAATCAAAAGCATGCTTTTATACTGGGGAGTACACGGCGCAACTTCTATCTCGTGGAAAAACGTCTGTATTTTTCCGAGATTAAAGTATCGTACGTTTCAAGCTATCGCAGTAAGCTCAGGCTATCCTTTTAGCGAAATGCCTTCGAGCCGTCGTTACTCTATGAACCGTGAAAGAAAACACGCTATCGTACCTACTTATAATTAATATTACTAGTCTGTGATAACGATTCCTTTTTTTTTCGGGGGGTTTTTTTTTTTTTTTTCCCCCCTTTCCCCCTTTTTAAACCCTTACCGCACACTGCATCTGAAATGGGTGCTACTTAAAAATAAGTTAGCTAATATATTTCCGGTTTGAACCGCGCAATATCCGAAGCGTGAGGTCCTAGTGAGAAACGAGTTATCTTTGATTTAAACCGTTAAGTGTTTTAACGTAACGTCTCGATAAATATAATTTATACAATACGCACTGTATTGCCATCGCTCTATAATTCTATTTTCTTGTTAGTATTTAGTTGAAAGATAAATAATGCAAATATTTTTGTAATCTTACCCCCATCATTAAAAATCGATTTTTTTTTAAATACGACTCGGGCAGAACTTTTACCGGCATCTTCAGCGTTCCGTGTTGTTGCTCTACCAATTGAAGTAGTAGTCCTACACGTCATCGTCAAATTTTTTCAACTATTTTAATTTATATAATATTATACCAGTGCCACCATGTGCAATAAAATGTAAAAATTTTAAAGTATTCAAAAATAAATTAATAAAGCAGTGATTTCTAATAAAATTATTATTATTTTATTGCGCTATCAAAATTGTCATCCTATACGCGACAATTATAGGTAATATAGTATAATGAGTTATTATTGAAACCGTTTATCAACATCGACGTTAGGAAGTCATATGGCACATGGGCAATGTCGGTCTGTCAACATAGTAATAGTAAGGAATTTATCAATGAACACTGCGCCATTATACCAACATATTGGTTTCATATTATTTAATCATTTCCTGCGCTGTACGAATTCATTGCATTAGCCAACGTATCGACAATCGATGTATTTTTTGTTAGTTTCGTTAACGATGATTACTAATGAACGATAATTAATGATTAACGATAGCTGAAATTTTGTAACTGTGTGAAAACAAAATACAATTACGACGCTGGAACATATAGGACTACAACAGATCTGAAAGTATCATAGTATTATGTGTCCTTGCTTTTATGCACTGCCGAAGCAAGTTTGTATTTTATTCTCTCTAAACTTGTTGAAAGAAGAAAAACGTCGACATAGGCGCGAATAAAATAAGTTTTTAGAATTGCCCCTTTCATTGAATTTAGTGTCAACAACCCATAAAACCATACCCAAAATGTAGATTCAATAGCGACACACCGAAAGATATCATCAGTGATTAATTTTGCAAACCTTGTTGTCAACTCTCAAAAAATGAATTATATAAGTTGCATCGACGTGTTTGTTATAGAAATGTAACAATCGACTACCTATGCCCGCATATATATTTTATACTGATGACATTCTCGGCTCTCCTACCGCGTACAGATAACATTGTTGCGATATAAACATGCGTTTGACTTTACTTGTGTTATACTTATTGTTTGAAAAGGCACATGTTGGTATTATATAAATTAAAAAATCACTTAGATTGAAAAAGATGGACACGGTAGCCAATTGGTTAGAGCAGCAGCGTGGATACCGGTTCCCGTCAATCTAATTGACTTTTAACTAAGTATTATATTTATTTCAAGTATTTTTTTATATATGATATTGTTTTAATTTAATTGTCAACTGTCTATGAATGTGTGTTCTTAGATACATATACCTTTACGTCATAAACTGGTTCTTATCAATTTTATACTCTTGGTGTTTCTGTTAAATAAAGTTTTTTTACAGAACTACCCCCTATGTCTTCTAGGGCGTATTAGACGTACGTAGACATAGGTTACAATGGACACTCAAAAACTCCAACGAGAAACCGTGCATATTCATGTCATTTATTCCCAGCCGAGTTCTATACAATGGAATAACAATGTGCCTCGTCAATCGACACTTGCATCGGATTGTCGTTAAAATCCCGCTTCCAGTTACGCGGACGTCACTTCCGAACCGAGCGTACTAAAAGTGAAACAATAAATTGCGCAAGAGTTGCTCACTCGATGCTTTTTGTTTTACTTTCATTATCAAGACTGCTTCCTTCGATTGTTATTAATTATATAAATAATTCTGCTAATTGTACATAAAACTAGCTGTGTCAGAGAAGCTGGAGAGGTCTGCAAAAACTTCTCTTTATGTTTATAGATTGGAAATGTTGCCCGCGACGTCGGTCGAGTCCCATAGTTTTTGCAAGTTTATCTTAAAAGACAGTGTCGCATATTTTTTTTTTCGATCATTTTAAGAGGAAACATTCTTTGATACATATTTTATCTGGAACTGTTTTCGCAGCATTCGTAACGGAAATTCACAATGATGAATATACTTCCCCGTTTTCTTTACTAGATTTATTTATACTTATATTATAAAGCTGAAGAGTTTGTTTGCTTATAACGCGCTTCTCATGAATCAGGTTCGAATAGAAAAAATCTGAAACGTTTATCGAGGAAGGCTTTAGGCCATAAAACATCTGGCTACGATTAATAGGAGCAACGAAACAGTAGGAAATGTGAAAAATCTATAAGGATTTCCGTTTCGTGAGTTGCAAAAACGGTTCAAGATACCAAAATATGTATGAAAGAATTATTTTTTTTTTTATAATCTACAGAAATGCCCATGACATATACTTATGTCTAAGATTAACGCTCAGCCGTTCTCAGAGGAATCAAACTTTGTCAAGTCAGCTAGTAATATAAAGAAAAGAAATAAAAAAATCGAATTAAACAATCATTTATTCACGTAGGGACCTACACTTGTGCATGTCACATCAGTAAAAACTAAACACTCAAAATTTGCATTTACTACCAGCTCTCGAATCAAAGGCGTAGAACGAAGGAGAACTGGCAAGAAACTTTATAAAAATGCGATCTAATAAGATACAGATTACATTTATATCGTAGTCATCGAAATAAACAGGTTAATTGCTAATCAGACTTGTAGGTGCCGTATAGGTCATCGCTGCAACACACTCGAGCACGTTACTATAAGCGCGAACGCTGAAAGATCTCAAACGAAATATAAATAAAATCTCACTTAATCTAGATAAAACCAGACAATATGTCGCGGGCGTGTCCCTGAATCTCGAGATACACTCAACATTTTCTTTCAAGCGAAAACCTCAACCCGTTTATGTCGTTGACCTATTATTTCTTCTTTTATATGTAGCTTGTTTTATATTATATTGTTAGTACATGTACATGTGTACATGGCGTACAAACACGCTATATACGTACAATGTACTAAAAATGTACAATTCTTGGGTACAGGTATCCTCCAGGCTTCTGATAGCTTAGACCCACTAACTTAGACCACTTAGTGACTAACGCCACAAAATCCGCGAACGTTGTTTTGTTGTTCGCAAGATTAATGGACGATGATGAACATCTAACAAGTAATTGATGATAATTCGTTGATTTTGACCAAATTTGACTACCATAAAAACGATTGCTTGCGAGTTAATCTTAAAAGATAGACACATACTGTCGCTTTAGTTATTTTTTTTTTTATTTATAGAGGAATCATTCTTACGAACATGTGAAACATAAAAACATGTATGTAAGAATGATTTATTGTGCAGCAACGGACGCTACGGAAGCCCGAAAGATCACTTTCGATATTTTGGTTTTGCTCCTGTTGGTCG